TAATTACTTCTTATATAATACCTTAATTTATATATTTATAATTATAATTACTATTAATTTTAAATTTTGAAATAAAAATACTCTTAGTATTAATATTTATTTTTATTACTTCCCTTAGGTGCTTTATAATATAGGAGAATTTACTATAGCAAATTATTATAAGACGGATTAATGCAGGTTATATGCAATAATACGCTTAATTATTAGAGGAAAGTTTTTAATTAAAACATACTTCAATTCATAACAGCGACATTTACGCCTGGCAGACTTCTGTTATTACATCTCAATTAAATCTTATCTGATCTTCCATAACAGACCCCTCTGCAGTTGTGTTTAGTTTTCTCTAAACTTTTTCAAACTAAGACACTTGGCCCCTAAAACCGCCACAGCGCCAATAATCTCGTAGACATTCATTGTATCCCACTCTCTCATATTCTTATTTAGCAAGCATATAGGCAATGCAGATTAGAAGTACGCAGTCCTGAGACTGAGACGCTGCGCACTGTTCATTTGTGTAGAAGGGTTGGGGTTTGTTATAACTTGGGAGATGCGACGTGACGGATTTGTGACCACTTCAAGTCGCGCTTGCTGACACTGTAGGCTACTTCAGCGCCATCAGTGGAGAGTTCTCTCCCTCCAACCACGGCTGCAAGGTCAAGATGTCCCCACGTTGCCAATGCCTAGAGTATGTATGGTAGGCGGTGGACCTAATAATTAGTATTTATGTTAATAGCCTGATAATTATTATCTATATTAATAGCTTCATAATTATTATTTATATTAATAGCTTACTTAAGAATTATTTAATAGAAATATATTATATTTTTTATTTTTAATTAATTATTTTTTAATATTTTTACTTAATATTTTCCATTATAAGAATATATAATATTTTATATATTATATTAATAAAATTATAAAACTTAAAACTTAAAATATAAAATATATTATATATCTATTAACTAATCTTTTTTAAGTTTAATAACTTAATTATTTAAAAATAGTATTTATTATTATTATTTACTAAAAGTTAACTTATATATATATTAAATATTATTATAAATAAAAGTATTTTAAATTAAATAAATAAAATAAAAAAATTATTTTTAAAGCTTAGGTTTTAAAATATTTAACTAAATATATATTATAATATCTAGATTTTATTTATCTTATTAGATAAATATAAAGTACTATGCTATTTAAAACCGATGCGTATTAGCGGCTAAAAATGACAAGGGGTGCTGTTTGTCCTAGACGTGATCTTATTGGCTGAGTCTGTCTAAACACAAGCGAAATCCAGCATCCTAAACCCATTATTGATCTGTGTTACTAAAGCCCGGATCGCTAGCATAACGTTAAGCATAACGTTAAGCCTAACATTATGCTAGCTATCCAGGCTTCCCGAACCACCCGGAACACTCGGATATCTGGGTTATTGACAGTGGGTCATGCGGTTTGAGCTTGAGGACGGTTTGTCTCTAACCCTGGTTATGAACACACATATATAACAGCCTAATCTCAGGCCCTATGGTCTATATTTCCACAGAATATTCGCCTCACCTCGCTCAAGAAAGACAAGCAATCATCCTCCCAAAGCACAACCATGGCAAACATCAACAAACGCACCGGAACCGACGCCAACATATCCGTGGAGATTGATCCATCGGCGCCCGGCACAATTATCCGAATTGCACTGGCCGCCGAATCAGCCTTCAACGTCTTTATGGCCATTCCTATGATATTCAACGCGAAAGAAGCCTTAGGACGAATGTACTTAAGCGATGGCAATCCCGTGGCGCCCCACGCTGCCTCTATGATGCAACTATTCGGCATCAGCTTGGCCGCTATGACGGTCCCGATGGTGCTTGCGATCCCGAATAAAGTTGGGGCGATAGAGACGAGGCGGACCACGTACCAGATGTTATCCTCGTTCGAGGTTTTTGCTCTCCCGCTCTCATGTTGGCAGGCGTGGGTTGCGGGGGAGGCGGGTAGCGGGCTCAATCCCGACAAGGTGATTTGGGGCCTTGGGATGGGGATGGGGGTTGCGTTGGGGTTTAGGGCCTGGGTGTTACTTGTGAAGCCGGAATGGATGGGGAAATACAGGGCGAAGAGGGTGGACTGACGGGAGTTCGCTGATGGATTTAGCTACATGGGATAGCTACTCCTACAGCTATCCTTGTCCCCTTCGACGACAATTGCTTGCAAGGGAAGAGCGATGTAGCATATAGTTCTCTGAGTGTGTTGTTGTCCGACGGAAGAGGCAGGTCCAGCCGGGATTACCAAGGAGGTCGAGCAGCTTTTGGGCTCTCGCTGTGGCTGAATTATTATTACTATTAATTGAGTAATTGCCCTTGTTATTTTATATTATATTTGCCTTACCGAGAAGTATATAAGATCTTGCTTTTAGAAGTCCCTAAAAAACCTTTAGAAGTGTTAATAACAGGCTGTAGTTGGGTGTGTTCTGTTCCTTTAATAAAATAGCCTTTCCTTTCCTACTACTATTTGTATTCTGCTTAGCTCTTCTGGCGAAAAGTTAGACCGGCCCTAGGAATTATTTGCAGGCGATTTATCATAAATCGTCTAATAAAATAGGTTATGTTGCTTAATTTTTAATGCTAAATTATCTGATGCTAGGCCGAGCTGCTAATTAGTTTAAAACTAACCTTAACCTTATACTTGGGGTTAGCTAGTGTTAAACTGCAGAAGGCTTATTTTGCTATGCGTTTAGATGAAATACACTGCATTTCCTAAAATAACTAGGTTACCTAATAAGCTAGCTCTTAAATAGAAATAAGGCAGTATATTTTTAAAAACACTATGAGTAACTTAATTAGATTAATTAATATAATTAATTACAGCCTATTTACTTTAATAATAAAGAGTCTTAAAGCTATTTTTCTTTAATATAAATATAATTATTAAAATAAATATCTATTTAATAAAATAAACCTTAATTCTAATATTTAATAAGAAATAATAATATCTTTTATTATAAATATAAAGGCTTATCTTTTATATAGACTTAATAACTAGTATAATAGTTAGGTCTAATTATATTAAACTAAGCTATATTAGGTTTATTATTAGCAGATAGTATATAGTATATACTAAGTATTATTAAAGTATTATATCTCTTAATAGTAAATTTAATGTATATTAAGCTTAAATTAATATAAAGAAGTTATATTAATAGCTAGGTTTTATTTACTATTAAATAAATATATATATATAATAAGTAGTTTATAATATTTTAAGCCTGGCTTATAGTAAGTTATAAGTCTATATTATAAGCTAGATTATAAGGCTTATAAAATATTCTAAGGTAAGGTATGAGTTACTATGTAATTAGTAAAAGTAAAGTGGGGTGCATGTGATGTAAGCGCCTTCTTCTGTTTGGGTTGTAATATTAGGTACCTGCAGGCTTTTTTAAAGTATTATAATAGTATTGCTATAATGCTATTAGCAGTTGCGGCTAGAAGGTATATATATTGGCCTATTCCTGTAATAGAGCTAAGCTAATATAATAGAGGGAAAGTTAGGTCGGATGACTTACTGCAGGAGCGTGATAGATAGTTGAAGCGTGGTATGTAGCAGAGGTTGACAAAAGACCTGTTAGGTAGGTTATAGGAAGAAGGTCAGGGCTAGCTAATAAGCAGGTAAGGCTTTTTAGCTGGCATATATATAGCTAGGTTTCGGCTATAATTAAGGTAGATAATTATAATAATTTAACTTAATAAAGCTTTACTAGCTATAAAGATAATAAATATTTAAATTATATTAAATTTTAGAAATACTTTAATATACTTTTTAAGGATAATATATAAACTTAAAAAATATATATATATATATATAGCTTATATATATAAGATCTTTTTTTATAAAGTTTAATCTTAATAAAAATATAAAAGCCAGGAAGAGAAGGTAACGTACACGATAAGCTTGCCGATCAGACAAGCATACCAATCAGTTCCACTTTTTACCTTAAAGACAACTTTTTAAATAATTCTAAAAAGTCCAAATTAAGCTTAAAATAACTAAAACTTTATTAATAGATATATAAGTCTTAAAATAAGCTTTATTTATTTTCTTTAAATTTTTTAAAAAATTCTATATAGCTATAAACCTTAAAGTATATTTACACTGTAAAATACACTGTATTTTAAGGTTTTCTATATAAAATAAAATAATTAAAATTCTTTTAAAAATCCTTCTTTATATAAATAACTATACCATTTTAAAAAATATTTTTTATAGATTTTTAGCTATTTTATTTAAGGTTTAAAATACTATAGGGTAAGCTACTTTTAGCTGTACAGTATACTGATCGGCATGCTTGTCTGATCGGCAAGCTTATCGTGTACGTTAGTTATATATATAATATAAAAATAAAATTAATAATAAATAAAGGCTTTTAAATAATATAAAAAACAATTTTCTTAATTCTATTATAAGAAACAGACTTAAGGTTAGTGTTATATTATTTTTATTAAATAGTTAACTATCTTAGGAATACTAATCTCTTTTATTATAATTAATATGCATTTTCTATAATTTACCCTTTAAGCCTTAGTAATATTATCTATTTATTAGGTAAAAGAGGGAATTTATAGTTTATTATAGGCTATTAATCCCTTTAATGACCTCGCATAAAGGAGCCCTTAATGATGGAATCCGAGTTCGAGCCAAAGGGGGGTTGTAGCACTTTTATCAGTTACCGTTGCTCCTCCCATTGCTCCGGTTCTAGTTTAGCAAGTCAGGCAATAAGTTGGCATATTAAACACAACTAAGTTTCTGTTTTAATGCGTATAAGATGTCAGTTAGTGCTTTTGAGGAGATAAGATTGTAGCTCGGTATCTGGGTCGCCATGCCAGGCGTATGACTGCCTTGCTCTCGGCGAGCAAAATGCCCATCATCTCATTGCTTATGATACTTATAATGAAATATGAGTTTTGTCCTACTTTGCAGGATTCTAACCCTAAGTGATAGGCAGAGTTCTTAAACTACTCAGCCGGGAGAACTTGGCCGCGGCATTCTGCGAACTTGAATGATGGTCCCCCTTGCACACTAGCACACCACGCGTCTAGGGCGACTTCATCATAGTCTTCCAAATAAGTCAAATTCCAACCTTCGCCGAGCGAGATTGGCTTGACGCCATCCTCGCTTGCCTCGAAAAGACAGCCTTGGGAGCCTGCGACCTTGTTTCTTGTGAGATGATAGCCTACAGGGTATTTACGCTGGCAATGACCTACCGATCCCGATATGGTGCCTGTGCCAACCAGGTCTCCGGTAATAATTCCAGAGCCCGAAGAAGCAAGATGGGTGAGCTGTTGAAATGGAGACCAATACAGGTCCCGTAGATTGCTTTTCGTGATCAATTGGGTATTACCATTGCCTAGAAACTGAGTCAACCATCAAGTCAAACGCAGTCCTATTGCACTCACGAGTTACTGATGCCGCCACATTGATGTTGAAAGTTCCCGTCGTTGAGTCGCTCCATTTAAGGTGGCTTAAGCCACCTGGCTGATGTCCATTCTTGGGAGCGGTCGCGAAAGGGTGCAACACATCGAAGGGGACAATCCATGGCGAGATTGAGGTTGCGAATCCTGTATAGCGGATCCAAATTGTTGAGTCACCGAGACAAGGATGTATTGAGGACGGGTTGTATTGGGAGACGTACCTTTTGAGTGGAAAGGCCCGAGAGGACGAAGCTCAAACATCTGTACATCACGAGTGGACCAGTCATTCAGCAGAACGAAGCCGAATATATACTCTGGAGCCTCGTCGATCGAGAGGGTCTTGCCACGAGGTAACGATTTCGAGATGAAGTAGCCGAGTTCAAGCTCAAAGTCGAGCTTTTTTGACGGCCCGTAGATGACATCCGAGCCATGAGTCGTGCAAGTATTGTGGAAGATGCCTCGCGGCCTGTGTATCGGCGTCGGCGATGGAACGATGCTAGAAGCACGCCCATTGTAACAGATGGGCGACGTGTAAAAGTTATCCGTCACGTCTCCTCCTACCAAAGCAGCGCACTGTTGACCCTCGCCATTAGGGAATAGCTCTCGCGGTCGCTAAGTGATTTGCATTCTTCACTTACATTTCGGGCATGCTCCAGGGAGCAATAAAAGTCCACGTAATTTCCGATTGACATGGGCAGATGTGTGCTAACGTCCTTAACTGGGACAAGGCAAGAGCTCGGAATTGATTTATTAGAGTATTCCTCGGCAACGTGTTTCCGTACAGCGCTCCGAATACTCAACGGGAGCTCTGCGAATCGATTCAAGGTTGGCTAAAATTTGTAAAAGATGTCCGTTAGCAGGCGAATTCGCGCGTTGAGCATGGGGTCTCTTGAAGCCGCACCATTTGGAAGATTGCCACAAGGTCGATGTGGGAGGGTACTGCCCTCAATTGAAACCATTCGAGCTGGTAAAGCTTGCTCAAGTCCACAACCGTGTCGTTTATCAAGGCGGCGCATCGTGGCGCCGGGTTGTCAATTGTTGAGACAACGCCAAATAGAGGCACAACCAAGTGTTCGGTCATAGCTGTGCAATAGGTTGATATACAGTGAGATAAGTTATCTTGTGTGCCAGTACAAGCATAGGTAAGTATATGTAAGAGAAGCGACAATTGTTTGCACGTTGCTCAGTGCACGCAACATAACCAGCGCGCTCATTCTCCCATTGTGCATGATTTCCCGTGGTTTCCCGTGGTTTCCCGGGTCTAATCTGCTACTGTTTGCGGGCAACCAATTGATGCGTTAGTGGCGCTTCCGAGGCTATCTAATTCGTTTCCCGTGTTTTAAAGGTTTGCCGTTTTAGGTTTTACCGGATCCCTCAGCTGAGTGACGTTGAATTTCCGTTCCTCCGTTCTTTGGTCCTTGCCATGGAGCCTTTGCCGTCTCGCTCTACCAAGCCCCACCTTATCATTCGCATAATATAATAAAGCTAAAGGCATAGTTTCTCTCCCGTTTGTGATCTCACAAGGCCCACGCTTCAAAATGTCAAAGGAAATGTCTTTGTACCCGCATCCCCGTCGCGTTGTTACCGGCCATGATGAGAATGGGCATGCAGTCTTTATGGCTGACAGCAGAGTACCATGTCTCCCTGTGGCAATCAACTGCAACTTTGCTGTTCTATACGAGACCCACGAGTTCCCCATCTCTAATGACGGATGGGAAGATCCAATCTTGAAGAAGACAGAAAGTCTGGCAAATCACACGGGGATAGTTCTTCGATGTGTTGACTTTAAGCCTAATACCAAGACGGTGAGTGACGTATCTGACATTGATAAAGATAGATTTCTTCTACCCTCAATTGAAGAAGCTGACACCTTTACGATACTTAAGATGTTCCACCGCACCGAATCGTTGGACTTTGGCTTGGTTTTTGACGGAGAGGTCGTGTGGTATGTGACCAGCATAGCCGTTGCTCGAGTGAACTATTCCATGCAAATATATCATAGCTAATGTGTCCCCAACACTGCAGTTACTTGGATAACGGCGTAGAATTGACCCTCAAAGCCGGTGACACATGTGTTCAACGCGGAACCATCCACGGTTGGGATAATAGAACAGATAAGCCGGCGCGTATCTTCTTCATCCTTAGTGGTAAGTCTCCCAACATATTACACTCCACAGACTTTGTGGATCCCGTTGTGGATCCCCCGCGCTACTGTTGCTGATAAAATAAAGCCGCGAAACCCGTGCAAGTTGGAGGCAAGATGCTGAATGCGACTGGGTTCGATGACAAAGATGTTGTGTCGGGAGGTCAATCCCACTAAGCCAATTGTGGGAAAGGTAACGCCATTCTCCGGAGTTATCTAGGTTGCTTAGCCGGGTTTAACAGAGGCTCATTTTCCCCGCAATTTCGGTTAGTTCGGAGGTGATAGAATAGGTTATAAAGTCTGGTGCATCGTTTTCATCTCCGCATTTCCCATTGTATTCTCACTATCGTCCCCGCACAAGCTTAAGACATTTGTTGCACCGAATTTTCATAAAAATAAATCCAATGCGAGGGTTTCATCGTCTTGAGCCATCGGATAGAAGTGCTGGACGGCCACGAACAGCCTGTGTTCAGTGTAGCGCGCTCAAGGTAGGCCTTGGTCTGTTCTCGTATTAAATTGATCCCTTTCGAAAGTCTCTAAAACTCACGCCTTTATTTTCCAGGTTCGATGCACCGGCGAGAGGCCGTCTTGCTTTAGGTGCTCTCGCCTCCGCCGCTCATGTACCTGGACAGGAGCCCAGCACAATTGTTCGTCCCGGCAAGACTCGGTGGCCCCAGCTCGCACCGTCTCAACGTCGACTGAACACGGTTGCAAATACGTCGGCGTTCATTATGGTCTCTTTTTGGACCTTGTGGACTTGTATTTCTCAAACGTGTACAACGCCTCATTACTCCTTCACCGCCAATCCTTCAACCAGTCCTTGTCACAAGGTGCGGTCACGAAACACGTTGCCCTGAGTGTCTATGCCCTGGGTTCATGGTATTGCGCAACCCGCCTTCGCCAGTCCATATAAAGGGTGACCAAGATTCTGACGGTTTCGCAGCTTCCACAATGATAATGACCAGTATTACACAGTCGTCGGGGCAGGCTCCGCCCATGAATGGGCAGAAGAAGCAGGCAGACTTGCCCTTTCTCAAGTCGAGTTTCCAACCGAAGACAACCTAGTCACGTTTCTTAATTTGACCCTTTTCTGGTACAGTCAAGGGCAGTGGCAACGGATGATGGTTTTCGAAGCCAATGCCCAATGCACTTCACGGTTGCTCGGTCTTGGCAAAAATCCTTTGGCACAAGCAAATACCATCGAGGCTGAGCTGAGTCGTAGAAGACTCTGGGCATGCTTTCTCATCAATCAATTCATCGATCGAACGGCATCCAACAAGATGGAAATCCTGGAATTTAAGGACGTTCCACTGCCATGCGACGAGCAGGACTTCCGAATCGGTGCTATCCCTGAACATCATGCAACATGGAACCATCAGCATGTAACTACTAGCATCTTTGCTGAGCTAATAAAAATTAGCAGCCTCTGGTAAAGCCAATTACCTCGATTACTTTTTCCCCAATGCCGTTTTACTGACTATTTGAAGGGCATCTGTCTATCTCCTTGCGCGTGACGATGGGTTAGAGATTGATCAGAAGCTTTTGACTATTCAAAAGTTGGACAGCGAACTGAGGACATGGCAACACGCTCTCATCAAGGACTTCGAGATTGATTGGAGTCACACCCCAGCACTATCAGCAATCAACTTTTCTCAGAGAGTGCTCATCCACATCACTTACCATCAGACTACCTGCGTCCTACACTCATCAATAGTCCCGTTGCTCTCTTTGAGTTCTGCAGCGGGAGAATTCAGGTATTCTCAGGCAATATCAGCACAGACTGCGCTCTTCCACGCCCGGAAAATCTCTTCCCTCTGCCTCCAGGCAGACTTCTGGGATCCGTCACAAGCTCCGGGATTTGTGGGTTACGCTGCTTACTCCTCTTGTGCTATTCAAATCCCATTTTTATGGTGCCGAAAAAGTGGCGTAAGAGAGAGTACCATGGCCAACATTAAAGCGAACCTCAATGTGATGCGCACGATAGGCAAGCGTTGGAAACTCGTTGCGGAATTGGTATAATCATGCCCTCTTCTTACAAAATCATGGTTCTAAATGTCTGACTAACCTTACGATTAAAAGCTGAGATACATGCCGGTGCTTTATCACTATCACAAAAGCATGGCATATTCCCTCGCAGACGAGCCTGGGTCCCTGGATGCCATGGACCTCAATAGATGTAGGGGCTCGACAAACCGAGCAAGAATGTCTATCATCGGCTACAACGCAATCATTTGGAACAATGACTCAATCAGAAACCAAGTCGAAATCGATAATTTGGGCCTGGGGACTTATGAAGAAAATAGTGGATATCGAGCTGAGTCAACTGATACTCCCGATCTGACACATGCATCAGATTTGATGCCGTCAACAGATCCTTTTCTATCGCATTTTGGATCGGTAGACCCTGAACTGGAAGGACTTACAAGCCATCGGATAGCGGATGCAGTGGTGGAGGCATTACAGACGTGTGAGGGCTTTGGTCATTTGGTACCAATGGATGATCTCTCACTATGGGGCGCTTGTTTAAATAGCCCCGGAAAAATGTTTGAAGACTGTTTAGAGGAGTATAAGTAATTGTTACTACGTAGTCGCCGCTTAATATCAGCCCGATATTAGGATCCCCAGATCTACTGCAGCAGACGTGGTGCGAGTCAATGCTATGCCTCAGGGGTGATCGCCAGTCGTTTAAAAAAGCAATTCTTGGTCGGCCAGATGACGTTTTGAGATCATTAAATTCCGTTGTTCGAGTATTACTCGGACATCCTAGTATTAACGTACATGGGTTATCCTCGGGCAGTCCCCGCCACCTGTATTTCACACACGGGAATCTATCTCTTGAGTGGAGCGACAAGCGTGCGCACTTACACTGACCGCGTTCGAGGTGGATGGGTCCTTTTTTCGATCCCATGGAGACTCCGCGGTCTTTTCCATCATCAACGGGTCCGCGGGGACATGGTTGGACAGAGGCTCCCGGGTAGACATCTTAAACGGTTAAAGCCATCACTACAATGTGCCAAGTGGCGAACTTCCCCAATTGTCCGATCAGGGTCGGTAAATGATTCTATTGGTTCAGCGGTAACGCGTTCGGCCCATCGGTTGACACCACTACCCAGAAATTTGCTTGCTTTAATGCACACTGATATCGTTGTCAATGATAAAAGTAGAACAAGATAACCTGACAAACGGCGCTCTAGCACACCCGAGTTATATTATTTTGATCACATCTTAACCGAAACCGTTTATAAAAACCGCATTCAAAATGCCACCTTTCCTTGGAGATATCAGTACGGTAGACACCGCATCTTACCCTTATATCTTTGAAAAGAATGTCACCGTGGTCACTAAGAGCGGCACGGCCATCCGCTGCAACGTTTATCGCCCAAAAACAACAGACCAGGACGCCAAATTTCCTGTCCTTGCCACATGTGGTCCTTATGGGAAGGACGTGCATTACAGTCAGTAAGTACAACATTACATTGCCTGATTCAGTCCCCGAGAAATCATTGTTCTTCAGACTAATAGAGATTTCAGCTTCAATGCCAACAGCTACGCAGAAGTAAACCCTGCTCACAAGACGGAACACTCAGCTTGGGAAGTACCAACTCCACGTCACTGGACTGAGCGTGGCTATGTTGTCATTCGGGCAGATGAGGCTGGAACCGGCCAATCTCCTGGATTTCTCGACATCTGGTCGGCCAGTACAACTCAATCGTTCTGCGACCTCATAGAGTGGGCGTCTGAACAGCCATGGAGTAACGGGAGAGTCGGCCTATTGGGAATCAGCTATTACGGCTCAACCCAGTGGCGAGTTGCTGCCCAGAGGCCTAAAGGTCTCGCTGCCATTGTTCCATGGGAAGGATTCTCAGACTTGTACCGCGATGCGTGCCGGCACGGTGGTATCTTATCCAATGCTGGTTTCAACAAAATCTGGGACCGACAAATTGGACCAACCCAATACGGTCTTCCCGGTAGAGCGACACGAAATTGGGGTGACGACACCATCGAAGGTGACATGTCGGAAGAAGGACTGAGCCGCAATCGGGTCACACTTGTGGATGCGGCACGAGCTAATCCATTTCGGGACTGTTCACGATTTGCTTCCGTTGACTACAATCTCGAAGACATTCGTGTGCCTGTCCTCAGCGTCGCAAACTGGGGAGGCATCTCACTGCACTTGCGCGGCAATGTGCAGGGGTTCATGCATGCCGGTTCTGAATTCAAATACCTTCGATTCATCGTCGGTAGACATGACCTGCCTTTCTTTTATCCAGAAGAGGTTGAGATTCAGCAGAGTTTCCTTGATGCCTTTCTCAAAGATGACGATCGGGCGGGATGGACAATGAAAGGAAAAATCCCCCCTGTGGATCTAATACTACGCAAAGGCAACGTCGGATATAATAATCCAAAGGCAGAGAGCCAGTTTCTTCGAAGAAAAGAAAAGGAGTGGCCAATTGCTCGCACACTTTACAAGAGCATGTTTCTCGGCCCCGATGGAACACTAAGTTGGGAGAGGCCAACTGACCATCGCTCCCAGAAAATCAGCTATCAGGCACTTGGAAGCGGCAACCTTCAACACTCGGTTTCATTCAGATCAGCTCCATTTGAATCCGAAACGGAAATAACTGGCCATATCGTCGCCCACTTGAACGTTTCTGTGAGCCCGGATACTCCCGAGGCCTACCCATCTGAGATTGATCTTTTCCTCTCCTTACGTCATATTGCAGCCTCTGGGGACGAGATATTCTACACTGGAACAACAGGAGAGCCAGCACCTGTCGCGAAAGGTTTCTTGAGGGTGAGTATGAGGAAGACGAACCCCCAGCACCCTTGGCACAAACCTTGGCTCCCATATCGGGACTACTTTTCTACCGACGTCCTCCCAGTCGCACCTGGGGAGGTGTACGAGGTGGATGTGGAAATCTGGCCGACAAACGTGGTCGTGCAAAAGGGCGAAAGTCTGGCCCTAGATATTGGCTCTGGTGATTTAGCTGGAAGCGGCCTCTTTCTGCATAATGATCCGATTGACAGGTGAGTCTAACTGGATGATTTCATATGTGTAATACAGAGCTAACAGGAAGGCAGGCCTGAGGAGACTTTAAGGGGATTAAATTCTATACATTTCAGGGAAGTATATAATAATTATATTATACTTCCAGTTATTCCTAGCAATAGTTAGAAATACCTTGATATAGTAGATAAGTAAATTATATAAAACTCTTAACCTTTCTAAGATAAATTATTATAAAAATATAATAAAGTATTTAATTAATTAAAATTAAATACTAAACTCCTTTTTAAAGGTATTAATACCCTCTTAAAAAGTCCTTATATTATATATAATTTAATTACATCCCTTATAATACTAAACCCCTAGTTATACTAAACTTCTAACCCAATTAATTCTTAATAATTTAATTACTACTTATATATTTATATATATCTAATTAATTTAATCCTAGCCTACTCTTATATTTATAATCCCTTTATTTTATAAGCAGGTAATTCTTACCTTATACTATTTATTAAGTATAATATTTACTTATTTAATATTATTATTTCTAGTTTTTAATAAGGCTAATTTATATATAATTATTTAAGTATTATTTAATTATATTTATCCTTAATTTATAATTATCTTATAATATTATTTTATTTTATTTTTCCCTTATTTTTAACCTTATAAAAGGCTATAAGCGTTTTAGCTTTTTTATTAATAACTTAAATAAAGAGACCTTTATAGCAGGCTATTATAGGAAAATTTAGTATTAAATAAGGTTTATCTGCCTTAATAATATAATTACTGCCTTAACTAACTAGTATAAATACTAGCTCTTAATACTTAGATTACTCTTTTTTTTAACTTATTTAAAGAAATACTATATCTAATTTATTTATTATACTTAAGTATATTACCTAACTTAATATTTCCTCTTTTAGTTATACTTATTAATATTATTATTATTTTTTTCCCTTATCTTTAGACTTATATAATGCTATTAAGCTTTTTAGCTTTTCTATTAATAATTTAAATAATAAGACTCTTATAATAAGCTATTATTATAGAAGTTAAAATTAGATAAGGTTTATCTGCCTTAATAATGCAATTACTGCCTTAATTAAGTAATATAAATACTAGCTATAAGTTTATATCTTAGCAGCTAAATTAACCTTCTTCCTTTAACCTATATAAAGGACTACACCTTAGTTAACTTTTATAATATACTATACCTGATTTATCTATTATACTTTTAAAGTATATTATCTAACCTAACTTTCTATAACTTCTAACCCTTCTTACTAATAGTATAATAGCTATACTGCCTTAATGCCTATTATATTACTAGCTATAATCTTAATCTAGCTATTAGGCCTACCTTATAAATAGCTAATAAAAAGGAACTTTATATAATATATATAATAATTATTATTATTATAAAAAACTTCTTATTAAAAAGTAGATTTAACCTTATTAAGGTAATTACTTTTAATTATAGCCTAATTTAATTAATTAGTTATATAAAAGAGAGATATTATATTAATTTAATTAATTTAAATTAGGTTAATAATAAGCTATTAGGTCTTAAAGACTTAGAAATAGCTCTAAGAGAAGGTTATCTTCTTTAGTTAAATAACGTAGTTTTCCTTACTGCTTTTATAAGTAACTTAGCTACTATAGGTCGGCAAAAGTTCTAACATATTCCGGATCAGCCGCAACCACCTCGATTACACCCTGCTATTTCACTATGCAATTAAATAGGTAATATTTATCTAATTATAATAGAATATATATTAATTTATAAAGAATTAAAAGGGGATCCTAACAGTATAGCTTAATACTTAATATATTAGCTATTTATATTATAATATATATTTAGTTAGTTAGGTATTAATTTTATTATATTCTTAATTATATTATCTTTAATCTTAAACTATAGCTCTTTTATAGCTATAATAAATTATTTTATAGCTATAGCTAACTTTAAATAAGTAGTAATTTTAAGATAAGTCTTATATATCCTCTATTTAAGGATTTTCTAGAGGTTTTTAATAAAATTAAAGTTAGGATTATATAGAGGCTAATTAGTAAAAAAGACTCCTCTTCTTCTTACTTAAGGCTATAGCTAGTCTTAAACTTTCTAGTATATAAATAAATAGGTATTATTATATTAAAAAGTCTTTTTTTCCTTAATAAGTCTAGGAAGATAAGATTAGAGATAGGATAGAATATGCCGGCTAATTATGCCTCCCCTCTTAGACTAAGGATCCCTAGGAAGAGGGATAACTATAAATAGCTTATTATAGTTAATTATATTATAAAATATCTATAAATATCTAGCAGGCCTTTTATAAGGCTAGACCTTATCTTAGTAAAGTCTTTTACCTTATAATATTATTAAAAGAAGCTTTTAAGATAGAAGTCCCTAGACTTATAGCTAAATAAAATAACTACTTAGTATAGTTAATATTTATATAGTTAATTATAACCTTATTAGAAAACTACTAATTATACTAAAAAGACTTATTTTTATAATAGTATTTATTTAAGAAAGATTTCCTTAATTAAGTAACTTCTTTATTAAGAAATAGGTATTAAAGTATAAGCTTATATTATATACTCTTCTTAATAAGCTAGTAATAAATTATTCTTAATAAGGCTTTTAATTATACCTAGTTCTTAATATCTTTATATAAGATAAAAGGGTTATTTTTAATAAGTATTTTAATATATATTTTATCCTAATTTAATAAGATTTAAGGCCTATTAAATTATAGTTTATCTTTACCTAACTTTTAGTATTAATTATATTAAATAACCTTATAAATTAGATAATAGCTTAACCCCTCTTTATTTATAATATCCTAGATATAAATGCCTAATTTATATATTATTATAAACCTTATTTATATATAAGGAAAATAATATATACTTTACCTTATTTAGGGCATTTTAATCTATTAAAATAATATAATAAAGTTATAATATTATATTTTAAATTTATTAAAAGCAGGGTTAGACCCGGAATGTGTTAGAACTTTTGCCAACTTACTGTATATATAAAGAGTAGCTTCTTAATATATTTATAAAGGCAGCTAATATTACTAATAAGCTATTCTTAAATTAGTAAAAAGTTCTAGGATAAATATAAGGTAAAGGCAGAGTTTTATAAAAATTTAAAGGAATTATATTTATTTTATTTTATATAAGTTAGTTAATAAAAGTTAAATTTACTTAAAGTTATAACTAGCTTAATTAATTAAATATATATAAAAAGGCATATAATTAATTAACTTTATATATAAAAATAAATAAAGTAAAATTAATAAAAAAGCAATAATTTAAATTAGGAAAATAATTATTATTATTTTTTTATTTTTTTTAAGTTTATAAGTTAGCCTTAAAAGGTATATTTAAGTATTTCTAAAGTCTAATATAATTTAAATATTTATTACCCCTATAGCTAGCAAAGCTTTATTAAGTTAAATTATTATAATTAGCTGGCTTAATTATAGCCTAAACCTAGCTATATATATGCCAGCTGAAAAGCCTTACCTGCTTATTAGCTGGCCCCGACCTTCTTCCTATAACCTACCTAAAAGGCACGCTTTAATTATCTATTATGCAGTAAGTTATCTAACCTGACTTTCCCTTCTAACCGCAACCGCTAACAGTATCACAGCTATACCATCACGATATCTGCTATCTGACGAAGCCTGTAACTACCTGATAAGGCCTTTTATACTAAAATGCCTGACCTGATTCCTTATTTTATAATAGCTCTTAAAGATTATAAATATAAGGATAAGCTTTATATTATAATACTAAAGATTAAAAAGGCTTAAAATAAAAAAGATAATATTACCTTTATTAAGTAAGCTATCTTAGGCTATAAGGTTTTCTTATTTATATATTATTATTATAAAAAGCTAATAATCTCTAAAGGCTACCTTAAGGAGGAGATTAAGTTATTATAAAAGCTAAAATAATCCCTTATAATAAGAAGGCTTATAGAGGTAAGTAATAAGGGATTTATTAAGGACTTTAGATTAGAGACTTTAGTTAAGAACCTATATAGATAGTAGCTTAATAATATAAAGAAATAGTTAGTAGAGCTAATAAAGGCTATAAAGCTAATTAATAGCTAGTAAAGATTAGGCTAGTTATGGTCTTGGATTACAAGAGCGTGACTGAGATGAGGGGGATGGCGTACTGCGATGTAGATAGAAGCGGGGTAATTATAGGGTTTAGAAGAAATATATTGAGTTTTATGTAAGTTTAGGTTGCCTAAAGTTAAAGACCTAAAGTCGTGAATTTGGCGTTGGCGGCGAAAAGAGGATTAAATAAGTTATAAGATAGGCTATATAACTAAATAAGCAAATAAGCTGTAATATTAGTATATTATTAATATAAATAGGGGAATTATTATTATAGTACTTATTATTTATAATAGTATATAATATAATTAAGGCTATTTTATAACTAATTATAATCTTATTAATATAATTAAATTAGCCTTAAAGTAAGTTATAAATAGAAATTAATATATATTATATATAATAATTATAGCTATTAAAAAGAACTTTTTATTAAATAGGAAATCTAATTTAATTAAAATAATTCTTATTAATTATAATTTAATTTAATTAATTAGTTATATAAATCTAAATTACTTAAGAAATATACTATTTTTAGCTTAAATTCGTTAAGAGCTATTTAAATTAAAAAAGCTAGAAAAAGCCTTAAGGTATAATTAGCCTTTAATAGTAAAAGAAGTAGCTTTCTTTACTGCCTTTATAGGCTTAAACTTATCTTAATATATAGTGTAGGTTATTAATATAATTATAAAGGCAGAATTAGTATTTTATATCCTCCTTAGTATATATAAATAAGAATAGGGAGTTTATATATAAAGTTAAATAAATATAAAGTAAAGGCAGGGTCTTATAAAGGAATTATATTAAGTTTACTTACTTTATATAAGTTAATTAATAAAGGTTAAATTAATCTTAATTAATTAAGTATATATAAGAAGGCCTATAACTAATTAACCTTATATATAAGAATAAATAAAGTAAATTAGTAAAAAAGTAATAATATAAACTAAGAGTATATTATTTTATAACGTAATGTAATTTATTACATATTTACTAAGTTAGCTTTAGAATATTAATATTTATAGTGTTTTCTTAAATATTAAAATATTTTTCTTTAATTTATCTCTTTCTTTTTTTTCCTTTCCTTATTTGCCCTCCTTTATTTTATAATAGCCTTTAATTCTTAGAATATAATATTTATATTCTTAATTTAATTAACTAAACTATATATTCTTACTTTATATATTATTTATAATATATACTATTATTATTAGCGTATTTAATCCTATTAATAAAGGCCTATTACTACTTTAATATATATTAATTATATATTAACTAGTTATTAATAATAATTATATAATAATATATCTTATAATAAAAGTTAAGGTTTTTAGCTTATTTTATTATAATCTTTTACAAATAATACCTTAGTAATAATTACCTTAAGAAGATAATAATAAAGAAAGTATTTAGCTTATTAAAAATAAAAGAAATATTTTCTTTATACTTATAAATTAAGGCTACTTATTTAATTAAATTTTAAAGTTTAAGGCAGCTACTATATAATTTACTAAGACTTAATATTAAGGTTATTATATTTAAAAAAAAAGTTTTATTATATTATCTTACTTATTTACTTTTAGCTTTACTTTTTATATTATTAAATTAGTATTTTAATATTAAAATATATATATTTACTTATTATTCTTAATAATATAATTATAAGTAATAAAAATTATATAATCTTTTTTAGATTTTTAATATATTATTATTAAGAACTAACTTTATAAGAAAAGGTCTTATATATAAGCTATATATAATATAATATATCTTTGTTTTAGTTACTTAATTAGGATAGATTATATATAAAAATATTAAGAAAAATCCAAGCTTTTAATTAGTATGCTTACCTAAGCAAAATATAGGGATTTAGCCAACTTCCTATTATAAACTTTAATTTCCTTACTAAGGAAATAATAACAAGTTTATAACTAGGGTCACGTGACTTATATTTTTATTATTAATATATATATTAAATTTTACCTGGCAGTTCTATAATTTATATAATACCAGTTAAAATCCAGTATATTAAATAAGGTTGTCTCTTACTAATAAAGCTTATAACTAACTAATTATAATAAAAAGCTTATTACTAAAATTAGTAAAACTTAGCAAATTTAATAATAGTCTTTATATTATTATATATATTACCCCTCTTTAGGATTATTTATATATATCTGCCTTTATTCTTACTAAGAGAACTCCTTCTTAAATTCTTAACTACTTTATTAATAATTATATAATATATATTATTAAAATTAGAAAAATTCGCCTTATTTAATAAATCTACTATTAGTCTCTATTACCTACCTTATACTAACTTATTTAATAGTTGTAACCTTTTATCTAATTATAAAGACTTTAACCTTACCTCCTATTACTCTTATTTACCCTATAACGTATATTAAGCTTATAAGGTATTTTATTCTAGCTCTAAGAATTATATACTAAGCTCTTAGCTTCTTATACTATATTTAGTATTTATAAGATATTTACTACTTTAACTATTAATTCTACTTTTTACAAACTCCTTAATACCTTAAGTTATTTTATAATACTAGCTACTTATTACCTTATTACGTTTATTATATTAAAATAATGATATTTAATAAAAAGCTTTTTAATATTATTAATAAAAATAAAAATAAAAATATTTATATTTAAAGTCTTATTTTTATAGCAATTATGTAGTTTTTACTTTAACTTCTTAGCTTTAATTTACTTTATAAACTTTTTAACAAGCTAATATATTAATATTATAATATAAATAATTTTATAAAAATAGTCTTTTTATAATTACGATCTTTTTATGCCTTTAATTAATATTAAAAGAATTTTAATTTATATATAAAAAAAAGACTAATAAAGAAATTAACTCTTATAAACTCATAACTCTAACCTTATATAAAACTCTATAACAGCGACTTAGGCATATCCCTTAAGCTCATTCTCCGTCCAGTTCCAGAGAGCATCCTCAAGAGCCTTATCACGGGACTGCTTTGACCCTTTGCCAGTAACACCGACTGGAAAGTAAAACTCGCCCGACTTGGCATCAGGACTAACAGCGGCCCACAGCTGGTTCTTAGTGCCATTTGAGACATTGGTAGATAACAAACCGATCAGGGGCAGTAGGGGCTTCATTAACGGCCAACTAGCGCCCATTCCGTTCTTGAGATTAGTGTTGACGACGCCTGGGTGCAGCGAGATGGAGCGGATCTCCGGGTGGTGGCGGGAGAGAGCACGGGCGTGGTGGATGTTGGCGACCTTTGAGATGCCATAGCGGATAAGTGTGGATGTGGAGGCCATGTCTGTCTTGAGCTTGTTAAAATCATAGGTGTCGGTGGCGGGAGATCTGGCCTCCTCAGAAGAGGCGACGTTGATGATGCGGACGTCCTGGGGCGGGCTGGTAGTTGCGGCAGTCCTCTTGAGGGTGGGAAGTAGGAGCTTTGTGAGGAGCGCGTGTCCCATGTGGTTGGTGCCGAACTGGATCTCATAGCCATCCTTGGTGGTGCCTGCCGGTGTGGCCATGATAGCGGCGTTGTTGATGAGGATGTGAAGCTGCTGCGACTGGCTGTGGAAATCCTTGGCAGCCTGCTGAATGCTATCAAATGACGCAAGGTCGAGGTTGATGTATGTGATAGGCGCGGCATCTGGCACGGCCTTGTGGATGTCTTCGATTGCGGCTAGGGCCTTGGACTTTGTTCGCGCGGCGAGGAATATGTGTGCCGGGTTATGCTTGCTGAGCCGCAGGATGGTCTGTTTGCCCAGGCCAGCGTTTCCTCCGGTCACGAAGATGACCTTGCCCGAGAGGTCGGAGATGTCTTTGTCGGGATTGAAGGATGGCATGTTTGCAGTTTTGAGAGATGAAAGGTAACTATTGATGGATGAATGGCAGTAAAAGGCTGAAGTGCGAATGTGATGAGGAACCAACAAGAAGAGAGCACATGAGATGCCTTGTCTTTTAACTCGGACTCCAAGCACGACAATCTAACTACAATTTCGCACCAGAGAATTCTTAGCACTCTCCGTCGGACCTAACATCTCTTAACTCCAAGACCCGCATACCACTGCAACCAAGCATACGACCGGTAGTGCATAATTTGGCCTAGTTTTATTTTAATTTTAAAAGCGCTTTCTAGATTCATTTCCGCATTGTCTATAGCACACACTGCCTGGTACCAAGCCACGGCAGAACTCTTAAATTAATTATAATACAAAACCCATTCTTAATAAACTGACTAACTGGACTAATATTATATGTGGCCAACTAGTGACCTTTATATAGTTCCATAAGAGACATGCTGTTATGTGCGTGTTTGCCTCCGTTCAGGAAGTAGGCATGCAGAGAATATCTTCACCTCTCGCCACCCTCCATTTATTCGAGATGTCGATAAGCTCATGGCATCCCTCTACAACCCATGGCCATTTTGCCAGAAATAGCGGCGTAGCCTCCCAGCTCTCCTTTAAGTAAGGCTCTCCCCATAAAATAAATCCTTCCCTATCACGTCTAGACAGGCTTCTATCCTGCTGCCAGTGCCGCGTTAGACTTGGTATTGAGTCTAGGCCTGCCTTGCCTTGTCCAGGCGGTGACATTATGTATACCAGATCTCCAACAAGAGCTTTCAGAAAGTTCTTATGATTGAAATTATGCTGCCTCCGGATAAGATTATCCCTGATTTCTGGAAATGGGATCATATCCATCCACGTGGGATGCGGGGTGCTCATTTGAAGCTGGGTTGGCAAGAGGCAGTGTGGTATAATTTGGTGTGTCGGCCGAACTATCGCCATTTCACACCCTGCTGCCAATTCGGGATGGAGGGGTAGATACTGTGAGACAGTGACGAAGTTGGCCATCAATCTTAATACGTTCTTGTTGTACATGAACCCCCGGGTTACATTGTGGATGATTAGGTGGATCAGGACGTGGTCAGCAGGTAGAGAATGGTCCGAGTTTTGAGGTGGATTAGGCTCGAGACCAGGTAATGTCCAGCGAGTCTCTGCTGCTTGAAGTTCATGTGTCTGACTGTCTCCATGCTTAGGAATTTGTTGATAGTTGATAGCTTGCCCCGAGCTGAGGACTGCTGGACGTGAAGCCTGAGCCGAAAGGCGAGGGTGTTGAACTAATCGCCAACAATCAATGTGATACGGAGTCTTGTCAGGCTTGTGACTCTTAGGATGCGCGTCGGCTTCATCCTTGATACGTTGCCCTAATGGCGCTGTGAGCGGCAAGAAGATAATTAATAATAGGGGGCCTGCAAATCAAGCTTACTGTGCGCTCTCTGGTTCAGTCGGTTCTGCAGCCTCTTCCGTTCTCTCCGCTCCTCAACAAAATTACTGCCGGCAGCAGCCTTCATGTTTGCAAGATAATATGGAAAGCCCGGAAAGGGAGAAAATAATCGAGGGAATTCGAAAGAGGGGATCACCTCATCACCAAGATGAAGCTTTGGAATATTAACCCAGAGAGGAAAAGAGCAGTTAGTCAGCTGAACAGAGTTGTGCGTGCTCTGGCACTAATACTAGAAGGAAAAAGGGCTGTCAGCTAAACCCGACGTTAGTACGGAAATGGCAAACGCTGTCAGCCAAGCTGAAACAGAGTGGTGGCCACATCTCATTCTGGCGCTAGGACCAGAATGGCAAAACGAGGTCAGCCATAAACGCACTACGCCTTAAGGAGTTTCTGATGGATACATAATCGGCATCGCAGACGATTAACTCCATGTTGAACATCTACAGATGCATGCTCCGTAGTAGGCGGAGATCAAGTGGTTGCGGAGGAAAACGCGGAGATAACAGATAATTGCGGACTACACATACGTGTACTATGAAGTAGTAGTATTGAAACATAGTGACGAACAAGCACGTTTGTAAGTAGCTAATATGGATTCCAGCCAGATATAAAAGATCCAAGAGCCTCGCATTTCGGAATCTATCATCTCTTACACAGTCAATCTACTATCTACTACTCTTTCACAACAACCGCCTACACTACCTATCTACAAAATTACTGATCATGTCTCGCTACGCTGAAGCCCACGTCAACCCTCAAGGTGCTGGAGATGCCCGACCAACCGCTCTCCAGATTGTCAAGGATGAAGGACTTGAGGGCAAGCTAAGTGATAAGGTCATTTTTATCACTGGCGTCTCGTCTGGCATTGGCACCGAGACAGCCCGAGCTCTTGCGGCTACCGGGGCTAGACTCTTCCTGACTGCCCGTAACCTTGACAAGGCCAAAACTGCCCTGGCTGATCTCTTCAACTCTGACGGTATCGAAAACTCTGGTCATATTGAACTTATTCACTTAGACCAAGAGTCTCTGGAGAGCGTTCGCAATGCCGCTAAACAGATTCTATCTAAGAGTGATAAGATTAATATCTTGATCAATAATGCCGGGATTATGGCCGTGCAGACTCTCGAATTTACCAAGGATGGCCATGAGCTTCAATTTGGGGTCAACCACTTGTCCCACTTCCTTCTCTTCGAGCTACTTAAACCGGCATTACTTGCAGGCTCCACGCCCGAATTCAATTCTCGGGTTATTAACCTCTCTTCTGCCTCACATGGCATCCACGGCATCAATGATTGGGATAACTATAACTTCCAAAAGGGTGGATATAATCCCTTTGTCGCCTATGGGCAGTCTAAGACGGCCAATATCTATTTCGCTAATGAGATTGAGCGACGATATGGGTCTCAAGGTCTTCATGGTCTAAGCGTGCATCCTGGCGAGATCGACACTGGCCTCTCTCGTTATCTCGACCCAGAGTTCATCGCACAGGCGGCATCCAGCGAGGCGCTCCAGAAGCGCCTTAAGAGTCCTCAGCAGGGAGCGGCAACAACTGTCTGGGCAGCTATTAGCAAGCAGTGGGAGGGAACTGGAGGGAAGCTCTTAAATGACGTCGCTGAGGCAGAGCCTGCAGATGAGAGTAACGGCAGGTTCTCCAAGGGGTACGCCAAGCACGCGTATGATGCAGAGAAAGAAGCTCGGCTTTGGAACGACTCGCTTAAGCTTGTTGGATTAGTTTGAGAGTATGCAATAGTTAAATAACTATTCCTTATATTTAGATTTGGTGCCCTAGCAGACGGGAGATATGCCCCTTTATATACAACGGAGCCGTGTATGTTCTTAGACTACTGCTATGCCTCGAGTGATTAACTACTGTAGCAGATATATTGTGTGCCCCTTGTTACAGTTTCGAAATAGCTAATATTCAGTTGGCCACTCCTAAAACCTTCTTGTTAACCGGTGTAGTGGCCTTGGAAGCTTGACTTCTGTGAATGAAGTTTCTTAGATATTACTAACTGCTATAAAAGAGGTATTATATACCTTACTAGGCAGTTTTAAAATAATTAACGTAGCTTACCACTTTATAAATCTTATTATCTTAATTATTATTTGACATGTAAAGTTTAAGGTTATATTAATTTTATCCTTAGTTTAATTAATAGCCTGCCCGATCATGCACGTCGTTATCATCTGGTTCGGCACGAGTCTATGTGGGTAGTTATCTTTGTTTTAACTGGTCTCTTTGCATTTTGTAATACACTAAGTCTCAAAGAAGCAAACGATGTGATTCTTTGGCATCGATGCTTAACTTGACTACACGGAGGGGGTCAGACTTATGCGGGACCTGCTTACGTCTTATTAGCAGGTGATATAGGTAATCATTTCTGTGGTGACACCAGCGTTTGTTTGTCTCCTCGCAGGAGGAACCTTTGATCATACACAACAAGTCTCATCATACCACCAAAAGTAAGAATAAGTGAGGAGCCGTGTTGCTTTATGGCCCCATGCATTGGTGGCATCTGACAGCTCGAAGTCACATTTGGGAGCTTGACCTTTGTCAAGAATACATGAGGGATATACAAGTTGACCAATTATTGGGGCAAGTGGACAGCCAATATCAAATCGTCGCATTTGGAACACTCGCACCTTAGAATTGCTGGCTTCTCACGTGTCGTTCTTTTGAGACGTGTGCCATCGGAGCCTTCAAACCGCATGCCCCTTCATCTCCATGATGGATATGTTATAGCCGCCCAAATAAGGGTCGTCGGTCTTCGATGCTCAAAAGTTCCTTGGGTGAGAGATGGATTCGCCGAGATAAGGCCAGCTCAAAAGCTCCCTCCACTGAACTAGAAATGACCGAGACCCATGGTGATGTTGCATCATCAGAACAGTCACATTCGGTTATGTGACTTGAGGCAGTGCTGACTCGGTTACTACTATGATGGTGGCCAATGGCTTGGGTGTGGATTTGCAAGCCATGGCTACAAGCATCACCCATACACAAATTATATTTAAAGGACCTCGCATTGACTAATTAGTATTGGAGATTTGCTTCTTTATCTACACGCCAGTTGTGACAAGCTGACTCACCAACATGTTGTTGTTTCTCTGTCTTTTTATGTATAGCCTCTGGCTCGCCAATTTTGTTAATGCTACCTACTTCAACATCCATACTCCGTCTCATGTGCGACACAACGCAACCTTGCACAGACGCAACAACATCAATAAATATGGCGGTTGCGATAAGATGTATGATGACTCAGACAGCAGCGAAACTAACCCACCACAGAAGAAAGGGAGTGATATTGTATATAGGGCTTATCAAGATGCCTTGAGACTAGGCCAGAATATCAATCCCTTTCTTCTTGAGGTACTCCCTGACGTTGGGGCTATTGAAATAGAGCCTGGCGTCCTGGAGGACCGATACTATGGAGATATCAGAGGAACTGCCGGTGATAACAAGAAGAACTTCATTCGTAGTAAGGAGACACCTCCTCATGCAACTAAAGATAAAATCAAAGTATCTCGAAACTAACATTTATGCAGCGGTGTTTCGAAATATCGCCACTTGGTATCCATTCGATTGGATCTGGGGACAAAGGATAGAAGTTTACTGTGAAGTCGACCAGCCAAACAAATCTAAAACGACTTGCAAATCGCGGATATCCGGTAAACAAGGCTCTATCGGTGCATACGCGTTGAGCGAGGATGGGAAATACAAGATCATCCTGTGTAAACCATTCTTCGGTGTGCGTACCTTGAACTACGTGAGGGAAGAGCTCAACAAAGACCCTACCAAGAGGAAGAATATCTACTATATGAAGACATCCGGGCATGTCTTTCTGCATGAAAGCTAATCCCTCTCCGAAACTTAAGCCGACAACTAAGCGTGGTATGCGACAGCAGAGTGGTTCTCCAACATCTTTGGATACCCAGACCCAACATCAGCTGAGAACGCAGGTGGGCAAGAAGACGATTGGTCCGACTTGTACAGTGCCGACGGGTCATCTGCGAACAATGGCGGCGCCGACGAGGAGCCTGATTACGATGATATATCAGAAGCTGAGGCTATTGCTTTTGCCGCCGGCGATTATACCCCGAATGGATGGCTTCAAACAAGAATCTCAGAATTCTACCGCGAGGAGGTTCGTTCGTATGAATCAGCTGTCTTTGCAGTGTTAACATGTACAGATTCGATTACGTACGGCTACGCAAGCTCCGACGGTAACGGCTACCGCGCTGAGTTGCACAACATACTTACTGCAGCTGGTAACAAGGTCGACATGATCGGTTCTGTCCGGTCGGGAAGTATGGAGGATAACGATAACGAAGGCCATAGCGGCGACACTAGTTCTGAAATCGCTAGTTTCAGGAACGCGTGCAGACAGAGGCCTAACGTGGTGCTCCTCCACGCAGGCACTAACGACATGAACAAGCCTGAAGACCCCGATAATGCACCCGGGCGACTGGACAATCTCGTTGGGACTCTAGTTGCAGCTCTGCCAGACGCGACTATCGTCGTCGCCAGAATCATCCCAGCCGTCAGCAGTAGCACCTTTTCCATAATCCGAGTTTATAACAACGCCATCACGAGACTCATGGCGAGACGTGCTCTTAGGGGCGAGAAAGTCATGATGGTTGGCATGCCATCTGGTGTGCAAACAAGGGACCTCAAGGACGGTTTGCATCCGAATGACCAGGGCTATAAAAAGCTATCAAGTGGGCTATTTCTCTAACGGCGGCTGACTCCTTAGGCTGGATAAAAGATCCCGTGAGTGGAGAGAGTCCTGAGCAGCCATCGCGGGGTTATTGCCCTCATGAACCGACTTGGCTTCCACAAGGCGAAGTAGCAAGCGGTGGCGGCCTTGGGGTGAATCTTTGGCTTCGCGCTGCTTGTTTCACCAAGTAAGTTTCAGTTCAGCTACAACAGCACAGGACTAACCATGGCTGTGATTAGTCCCATTTCCGAAGTCTGTGACTGCCGCAAACTCGATTCGCCAAGGCCACTTACCCCAGAAACTACTCGACTCGACTGACGCGTGCGACAAAAAGTTAGTTAGCCAACCCGTCGACACTGCCGTTCACTTTGCCGACCTAAACGGAGACGGACGAGCCGACCTCCTATGGGTTGATGACAAAGGTGCCGTCACTGCATACATCAACTCTGGCAGCTCTGACACGGGCGCAAACGCCGCGAAGGTTGGATGGCTGCCCCCAGGTGTCATAGCCAATGGTGTCGGTGCGAACCGCAGCAACGTGCACTTCGCTGATCTCAACGGCGATGGCCGGGTAGAGTACTTCTGGGTGCACGACGACGGCAGCGTCGGCTGCTGGCTAAACGCTGGCGGACCTGATAATGGACCTAATGCCGGCAAGGTCAGCTGGATTCCACAGGGCAAGATCGCGTCAGGCATCGGTAAAGATGGTGACGGTGTGCGTTTTGCAGACTTGAACGACGACGACCGCGCAGGGTACTTATACGTCAACACCGACGGGTCAGGAGAAGCATATCTCAACCTCGGACCACCAGATCAAGGTCCAAACGCTGGTAAGGTGTCGTGGGCATCTCAGGGGACCATTGAATCTGGCGTAGGGATGGGAAGGGAGAACGTTGTCTTGGCCGATGTCAACGGCGATGAACGAGCTGACTATGTAGTTATCTCGCGGAAGGACGGTAGTGCTAAGCTGTGAGTTAATGGCGGAGGACCAGATAACGGGCCTAATGCTGCCAAAGTGGCCTGGTATCCGCGTGGAACGATTCCTTCGGGTACTGGGACTGGTGGCATGGGGATTCAGTTGGCGGATCTCAATGGCGATGGCAGAGCTGAGTATCTGGACGTCAATTTTGACACGTCCGCTGTGAAGGCGTGGTTGAACGGATGTTGATGAAAGGGAAGTTTCTAATATGGAAGCTATCTAGACAATGACCACATCTAAAACTATCAGGATCGTCCACGATCTCTTGTCACCACCAATTATTCAGAGTCCAGATGAGCTGTCCCAACTCTTTGGAATGGGTCCCGACTTGCCCTTAGTTATGTTGATTCTGGAACAGAAATCGCCAATAAAATGCGTTGTAAAAGGTTGGGACTCATACAGCATATAGAAGGCCAGATTGTGAGAATTGGCGATATTCCTTCCGCTATTTTACCCTGCTTATTGCTTTTTAGTCCATTATAATTCTCCTATTAAGCCTTTTATAAATACTCTGTCTATAGTCCTTGATCATAAGGAAGTTAAATAATAGAACTTAATTTATGTGAAATAAGTTACTACTTAACTAACCCAGAGCTGCAGAAAGTTCAATCTACTGATGCAAACCAGGTTCTCTCTTAGCTAGACGTATATGAAGCGTCTATTCGATCCAGTCACTCTCGAAGACGTTCTCATGTCCCGATTTGCACCTCGACGCCGGCCCTCCATCCCTTTCAACCACCCAACACTTGACCCAAAATCTATCCTCCCATATGCTTGCTACCAGGGGCCAATCAACAGTCCAGTCACCCTGACGAAACTCGACACTCTCGAGTTTCTCACCAACCTTGGACTTTCTTAGACCTTGGAACAAATCAAGAACTTCTTCTATATCCGGAGCTGACTCTAGTATGTGATTTTCCCTTTCAGCAGCGCTAGTGCCGTTCATCTGCAGCCCTCAGTCCAGCAAGTTTATATTAATAACCAAGTTTCTTAGATTGGGTAGAGTCTTGGAAAGAATGTTTAGCTGATCTTGGGGCCAGGTCCTATTTTCCCGTTCAAGATCAATGTTGAGGCTGGTCAAACCAGGAGCCCACTTTCCCAGACTTTGGAGCTGATCGTCGGTCAATATTGGTCTGGGCTTGAAAACACGCTCTCGGTTTGTCCACTTGAGATGTTGCAGCGAAGCTCCGTGGTGCTTTAAAACAGAGTCAAATACATCCTCTTGAAGTGTCCCACTCTCCGTCCAAGCGAGATTCTTCAGCGACGGCGGTAAAGCCAATAGGAAGTCTCGGGCTGGTGGCGGTGGCGATGAAGACCACTTGTTCTTAGGCAATGGCCCAGGAGCAGCCTCCCACTCCGCCAGATATGTTCTCCAATTCAACCATCGGCCCTGGATGGAAAGCGTTTTGAGACCTGTTAGTGCTGAGGGAAGATGAATAAGCAGACCCTTTCCCTCTGGGCGAGTGCCTGTATCCTCGATTGATAAAGTGTGCACTTCAGAGAAGTCCATTGCTTCCAGCCAGAGCTGCATGTTGTCCATTGATAATCTCTCAATCGGTATATGTCGCTGGTCGTACCATCTTTGTGCCTTTCCGTGCCCCCACCATGTAGAGTAGTCCGCTAGGCCAATGGCATATTTGTATTCATGTGTCATTCGATCAATCTTCCATCTGCTGCGATAGAACATGTCTGTTGCCCATCGCATAACAGAGTTTGTTGAATTTGAGACAGGCCATGAGCCATCCTCGTTGGCCCAATGTGGTGTTCCTGTTCGAATATTTTCCCACTCAGATTTGTGGAATTCGTAGTTATAGAACGATAAAATTTGTGGCGCCGAGAGATAGCGATCGCTTCCGTCGGTCCTGAAAGGTAAATTCCAACCATGGGGATGCTCTGTGCAGCTTGGACCCACCATCCTCAGCTCGAGCTCAGTAATATTACTGCATGCTTTCATGGCATCATGCACAGCTCTCCATTGACCGAACGGTCTGTTGGATGGGATGATTGCGCGAATAGCGGAAGGGCGGGGACCTTTATCAGTCCATAGTGGTACCTCATGCCATGCACTAGCGAACGCGAAAAGCAAGGCGAAGGCGAGGGTTATGGAAAGTAGGAAGTATTTTCTGGCTTCTAGGTGAGACATTTCTCATATATCTTTTGCTCTTGAAGGTGTAAGATTTCGGATTCCAGGAGGATTTAGAATGGCGCTGATGACGCGGAGGCTAATAACACCGTGTCGTCATCTTACAATGGTTGTTTTAGAAGCTACCTGTGATGATAAGCTTTAGGCAGCAAACTATGGTAATAAGGACAGAGTATTATTTTGCAGTCAAATCGAGATGATGAGAGAACAAAAAGCAGTCTAGCCAGTTAAAAGGGTTCTTTTTTATGTTCGTGTAAATTTTGTCAGACTCCACAAGATATATCAAGGCAACACGACAAAAATGAGACCTCAGGTTAGTATAGAAATAAGTATTGCTAAAATAGAGGTAAGTATATAAATATAGAAAGAATACATTTAGAATAGCATAGTAATCGGGAACACAGCGTTCATCTGTTTATCGTATTAGCCCTGAAATAATGTCACCTGTAGATCACTGAACTTACCACGACTTCGCCAGCGCTCTTGCTCTCTCGTTCTTCTTCTTGCTTCGCTCTTTGCTCTGCCTCTTCTCGTTCTCTCCGCTCTTTTTCTTCTTGTTCCACTTGTTTCTCGAGCGCTTCTCTTTTGATGACATCAGGAAAGGTAGCTTGTTGGCTCACTCCTCGCAACAGGTAGTCATCAACATCACCACGGCCATGGTGCTTGACTATATCGAGCCTAAATACGCAATCTTCAACGAGAATGCCCTTTGCAGCGTGCTTGTGGTCTTTGATGACCGTAATCTGCTCATGCAGGACATTGTTTGGGTTACCCTGTGGCGCTGACACTTCGCTCATCATAAGAGCATTTGGTAGAGGCTCGCTCTGATCAGCAAGACTCTCCACAGGCTCGAAGCGTGGCCAAGGCAATCTCATGTACAGTGTTGAGCTCTTCGACTCTGATGGAGGACCGTTTCGGCGCCGTCCAAACGCGTCCTCAGTAAAGTCTCGATAGCCACAGTATTGATCCTGGTAGCACCACGCGAGTTGAATCTGATCCCCTTCTGCGATGTTGACCTTGTCGCCCGGGGCAGCCCCAGTCTTCAAGACACGCCAGACATGGACATCCTTGCTGTCTGACATGGCGGGTAAAAAGACACATTGTTGATTACGGAAGACTACAAGTGAAGAGATCATTGGAGCAGAAGGAGATATTGACAGCGTGTTATTTCCTGAATCCCCGGTCTGTTAAATGTCAGCGAGTGGTATACAAGTTTAGACTTGATCGACTTACAATCTTTGCAGGGGAGTTATTTCCAGGCGATACGGTTTGAATGATCACTCGTGACTCATGGCATAGAGCATCGTCATATGGCGATGTGATACTCCAAACCGTGCTTTTGTATTCGTCGTCGTACTTCGTGCCGTACAGATTCTCACCAACCTTGTTTGAAGCGTATCCATAGATGGCTGGAGCACGATAACTAGGAGATGTTAGTCACTATAGTAAGTACATCTCATGTTTCTGGTAGACATACCTTCCAGGATGGAATAGAAACTCTGGTTTGCCCTTAGGCATTTTAATGCGACCCCAGGTTTCATCAGGATGCTCAAGCTCCATAGCTAGTGGCATCACGGTTGACAAAGGCCTGTGACCAAAATAGTAGTTTGGTGGAGTGGCAAACTCTGTGTCGTCAGAGCCCTTCTTATACGAGAGACATAGGTCGTGATTGGGTGACATGAGTCTAAGTCGTATCTTCTTGAAAAGCTTGTCTGAGAACTCGATGTATTTGCTGAGAGAAGGGACGGCTTGCTCGAACCACGATCTGGTGTGTTCGAAACCGCTCATTCCAGAGATCATATCGGCCATCAGGATCAGACCATCGCGCTACCAGTATCAGGAACGTGTAGCACAAGACAAACGGAAGGGGTACTTACGTTAATAATACGCCAGTTCTTGTAGCTTCCAACTGTCGGTATCCAGGCAATGGGATTAGTGGCCAATAGGCTGTCACCGCCCATCGCTTCAAAGGTATGCGACTCGGACTTATCTGACTGAGCCTGCGACTTGGAATTATCAGAACCAGATTCTTGTGTATGGCTGACTGATCCTGATGCCTTGGGAGAGGAAACTGAAAGCCCAACAGAGGTCTTCAAAGATTGCTTCTGTTCCTGCTCCGAAGTGGTCAACGACTGATCCATCAGTGCCTGTGTCAGAAGTCGGCCACCGATGGTAATGGACTTGCAGAACAAATATCCATAATCACGACGTAGCTGACGCAAATCCTTGATGTTCTTTGTGGCTTCAACCTTGGCTATAGCCTGTTTGAGGCCATCTGTTGGTTCGAGGCATGAGTCCAAGTTCAAGTCAACTCGAGGGAACTAAACCTATCAGCCCTAGATTAAATAGACATATAATAGATGACACATACCGAATACTTTGCAATCATGGTCTTGTGATAAGTATTGGACGTGTTTGAAGTTGATGAACTGTGCATGCTGTCCGTCGAGTAGCTCACGCTAGCAGCAACAGGCCCGTAACTCCCCCCGAGAGATGCAGAGGTAGAAGAGGCACTGAAGTCATTGGTTGCCATGCTAGTCTGAAACTCATGAGAGCTGATAACAATATCAATGCGAGAGTTATCGTTGATGCTGAAGTCAGGAAGTACTCTTTTGGGCTTCGAGGATTGAGGCGGAGCTTTAGCTGTGCCTGACTTTGAAGGTTTTAAAGTTTCAACAGGCTTAGTAGCACCTTTATCTTGTGAGGCAACTAGAGTCGTTGACGACTTCGCAGCTTTGGCGCCAGCTGTGACCTTGACTTGAGATCCTGGATTATTAGCAGAGACAGCTGCGGTTGGGTTGGCTGCACGTGGCTTTGTTGGAGAGGAAGAGCTTGGTGATGCAGGTGCGGAAGATGTCGGGGTGAGTGTGCCCGGAGACGACGATGTTGTACTGGATCCCCCTTTACCTCCACCAGATGCGTTACTGTTGTTGTTATTATTGCCAGATGAAACTGTCGCCGGACCGTTCAAGGGTTTCTCTGGTGGCTGAACTACTTTCAGTTGAAAGGCTACATACAATTAGTTTATTAGTCATGGTTTCCAGCCAAAAATGACATCTTTAACATACCAGCCTTGGGAGCCCGAACGATTTGCTTCATCGGTCCATCGATGCACCAACCATACATGGCATTGCAATTCTCAAGCACCTCTAGCCATTCGGCTTCTCCTAGTTGAGAGGCTCCATGTGTCCTAGGCAAGTGAGCAGTAAGTCGACACTCTGCGGAATTGCACTTACTGGGCAAATGAATCTAGGCCAGCCGTAGCAGCATATCCATCTGCTTCCCATGGTCTGTCTGTTTCCTGGAAAGTACTAGCCTTTTCAGGCGGTGAAGCAAGGAAGTCGTCGACGCCCTATTGAATGTTTATTAGCTGTGTCCGAATAACATAAGGAAATGAGGAGGTTGCTTACGAGACTCTTAGGAGATGGTGGAGTAGGGATGTCAACATTCTTGTCATTGTCATCCTTATTCTGCGCCTTGTCATCAGACTTATTAGAGTCTGTGGTATCGGCTTTGTCGTTCGGATCACTATCACCGCTTTTTGGATCTTTCTCCTTGGTATCCTCGCCTTTTGATTCGTCCTCGTTACCTTTGTCCTTCGGATCATCGTCCTTCTTGTCTGCATCACTATCCTCGGCAGGCTTTTCCTTATCATCCTTGGCATCGGTGTCTTCCTTTTTATCATCAGGGTTCTTCTCTCCGTCTTCATCAGCATTAGTAGCATCTTTGTCATCTGTTTTGTCGTCTTTCTCAGGAGTAGTCGCATCTTCAGCAGTGCTTTCCCCTTCCTTCGCTTCAGGCTCTTTGTCAGTGGCTTCAGACTCGGGCAACTTTGGGGATTCTGGATGCTGCTCTGTATCTGGCTCCTCAGCACCCAATTTCGCTTCCAGGTCATTAACCTTTTCTCCTGCGCTGGAAAGTACCGCCGAGCTGGGGGTTCCAGTATGAGACGAGCCAATCTTGGCAGCAAGGGCCTCTGCCTCGTCTGATAGTGACATTATGGAGGTGATGGTATAGTTGAATCTAAATTCAAGAAATTATGGGTGATGAGTTTGCAGTAAAGTTGGAGAATGGCAGTGGTTGCTAAATCTAAAGCTACCTGTTTGATAAATATCCAGCCAACAATAAGTCTAATAATGGTATGATCAAGCGCCCTTTTCCCTTCTCAGACAACATGAACTACGTCGTTCTGTTTCTCAGTCCGTGGACCGCTAAGGATTGACATGTGGTCGGTCGAGAACATTCCTTTTTGGCAGAAGATGTATTGAGGCTGTTGATAGACACGAACTACATGCCAATAATCTGTAACTAGCTGAAACGCTATTAGAGTCTATTGATGAATATTGGCAGGCTAAAAAAGATAATGCGGGGCATTGTGAAACAAGCTGCTAATCTAACTCTCTATGGATATTGCTATCCCTGCCGTGCCAGTTCAGCTGTCCTCACCCCGCTCTAGACGGCACGAGGCTCGGGCCTAGCCGCACTAGAGATCATCAAGGGCGTGACTAGTTACCAAATGATCTTTTCAGCTGTGACAGAAAGACAACTATTTGGTGAAATCATACGACGCCATTGTTATGGCTTTCCCGTTTAGGATACTCTCCATTCTTCTCAAGAGGGCACTTCTTGAACCAATAGCTGTAGCTCTTGGGAGCAGCGAAAACCTAGTATATCCCATCGTGCTCCATGGTGATCAATTCTGTTCAATTTTACGCAGCTTCGCAACTCAGCTATTGCTTGCTGACTGACTTACTTTTCTTTACACTTTTTCGCAAGGCTTTGAGTTGATCGTTACCATGAGTCTGACACTTGCGCCTTATAATGATGCCATGCGCATTGGGCAAGGGTATGTGTCGATTAAATCGTTAAGTGAATTGTTGCTAACATAGTCGACAGATTCAACTCGTACAGTAGGCATTTCGCACTTGAGTTTGCTTGTCGTATACGGTACTAATCGTCTTGTAGCTCATGAGATTTGTATCGATGGAGCAGTTGTCGTTGACACAGACGGACCACACAGTGAAAACACTCAAGTCCGTACTATCGAGAGGCCGTCGCAGGTAAGTCAACCACCATTTAACAACCCAGGATGTTGCTCATACGATACAGGTAGTTTCGTACTCTGCGAGAGCTGTTGAGAAGCTCAGTGACATCATCCAGACGATGAACGTCTCGTACCCTCATTCCATCAAGAAGGGTAGCGTCACTGTCAGCGGGTCTAACTCGGCCATTGACGAAGCAACCTTCAAATCCGCCGACATTAACATTATTGTCACGGTCAAGGTAACCAATCAGACCACTCTGATCAAGAACAATGCTAGATTTGTTCCCATGAAGAGTATTGACCCTGCGTCTCAAGCGTTCAATGAAGCCTATGGTGATTCCTATATCTCGGGTTTTATCGAGGGCGGAGAATTTACCGGCATCATTTCGATCAAGGTCATTGATCGAAGCAATGTTGATCTGACTGTCAAGAAGATCAAAGCTAGGCTTGATGCTAAAGGCAGCAGCACAGCTACTGAGTTTACTCTCAACAGCCACGATTCATTCTCTTCTAGAGGATCTGCTTCCGTAATGGAGAACACCGAAAGTCACATCCACGTCTCTTGGATGGGTGGCGGACAGATCAAGAATGGTAGGTCCATTATTCCAACTTCGGGAAGGTATTGTTTCTAAATACTCCGTTAGAAAACACACCATGGGATATAGATTCCATCTTCAAAGCGGCCGCCGCCTTCCCTCAGAGGGTTTCTGAGCGCCCTCAGCTCACCTGGGCTATCTTGACAAAGTACAAGTCAAACAGATCTTTCATCGAGTGGGCCAGCAATAAACCCGTCAAAACACTCGAATACGACCAAGTCAGCAGCTATACCGCCGAGCTCTTCGACAGCTACATGGACTACAAAATCCTCCTCAAGTATGTTCAGCTCATTATCGATGATCCGGATAGCTATGAGGCTGTCGGTGAAGAGGACGCCTTGGACACCTCCATTGATACGCTCTTGGGTGTTCGTTTCGCTATGCGCAAAGAGCAAGGTAAGATCATAGAAGCTATATCTGTTCTTAGCCGCGATCCTGGAATTCTTTCGCGTCAGGGTGGATGGGGAAATGGTCAAGCCAACAAGGTATTGAATCGAATTTTGGGCAAGACCGCAGGCCACTCGACCGCCAAGTCTGATCCAGCGACCCAGAAGGGCTCTGCGCAGGGTCAAGAGCACTTTGACTTTTCTGGTCTCATACCAGCTGAGTTTTGGAGGAAATGGATGCCAGTTCCCAAGATCGCCTCCTCAACTTCATCTACCAGAGAAACACCTGCGACATCGAGTCCTTCCGCTGCTGGTTTGTCTGACCTAAACCCTCCGCCTTCAGATGATCAGGATTGGCACAAGCCTTCTGAAGCCGGAACATTGGGTAACAGTGTAAGTACTTTACTTGTGGAGTGTTTTCACTCTAGATATTCCAGACTAACACTTTACAGAGCCGTAACTACGCTTCAGTTTTGCAAGCCAAACTCAATGCTGTCACTAGAGACTTGGAAGCCAAGACCGAAGAGCACGCCGGCCACGCAAAAAGGTTCCAAGACGAGATTGACAAGCTCAAATCCGACAGCGCCAGCGAGTTAAAGGCTCTCAGATCGAAACACAATGAAGACCTCGAGGGTATTAGGAAGAGGCAAACTGATTATGAAACCCTGAAGGCAGGACAACAGAGCGAAATCGAACAAACACTCCAGCGCCTTGAGAAAGAAAAGCAGGACGCCATCGACGCTGTGAGGAACGAGGAACAAGAGAAGTACGACATTTTGCAGAAAAAGCACGATGAGGTAGGAGGAACAATCCAGTCATTGATGGCTGATATGGGAACAAAAATGCAGAATGAGAAAAAGGCTGCCCTTGAGAAGCTCGAGAAGGAAAAGGACGATGCATACAATTCTCTCAAGGAAAACTACGAAAGCTTGAAAAAGCAGCTCAGCGACTTGACAGCGGCAGATGCCACCTTGACCAGCAACAGCAACAGTTTGGCACTAGAGAAGATCTCTTTGACAACTCAGCTACAAGAGAAGACCTCTGCGTACAACAGCCTCAACGCTCTGTACGATACTCTGAAGAAAGATCACGAGTCTTTGATTGCGAAGGAAACAGCGTGGACAAGTGATAGGGCGACGTTGAATGGTCAAATCACCAAGCTCATAACTGACAAGGGTCTCGTTGACGGCAAGAATTCAAAACTGAAGGATATAATGCAGTGGGCGGGACTATACGAGAACAGTCGCATGGACAATTGTTTGCCATATAGTTACAGTGGCTGGACTGTCATGATCATGATGCCACACAGCAGGATGGCTCTGAATGCAAACAACGGTATCTCATCCATCTCGAAAGTTTTGTTCGCAGTTACTGACCTTTCTTAGATCATCATAGCATGGCACACGCCTGGAGCTTCAACATGAATAACGACGATGAAATCTTTCAACTTGCCAAAGCCAATAACCATCCCGACACGCCTTGGACAATTAAGCACAAGGCCACCGGCAGTAAGTAATCTGTCTACTATAATGTCGGCCAATGACTAACTTGTAATCACAGATTTACTTGTATTCCTCAATGGGGAGACCGACTGGCAGGTCCGTTGCCGAAAGGGGGGTGATTCCGGCATCGTCGGAAGAGCAGCGCACTGGTTCATTGGTCGAGGAGCTGCTGATTCCAACACTACATGGGTGTGAGTATAAGAGTGTAGAATGCTCCATGGGAAGTGAAGTTGACAAAACATACAGACTGAAGAACGCTGAATGGCCGAGCATATGCATTCAACTGGTGCATGGATGGGATCAAAATGGGTATGTGTTCATGATATTACGCCAGTAGTAACAAGTCACTAACAGATCTTTAGACGGATGGCGAAATCATTTACATGCACTAATGCTGGTGATGCCAACTGGGTTATTATTCCACTTAATCTATAATTTGAACATCTTGAGCTGAATACACTTCCTTCAGATATTTATTACGTCCTTTTCTATATAGTTCCTAGACTTCGGTGACTTGCGTGTCCTGCGCTAGAACATAGTAAATAAAAGCTTATGCGACCATCCTCAACTTAAGCTTATCCTCTTTTACAATCTCATCCTTCTTAACAAGAAGCTCCTCCATATCCCACGGGCAGCTTACATATCGTCCACCAAGCCACTCCCTACGTTCAGAGGCCAACCACGCAATTGTATCACCAGCTATATCAGGTTGATGAGGAAGTGCATTCCTAACTATTTCAGGCGCTCCTTCAGTAATCTTCGTTTTGATCGCTCCCGGATTTACACAAAACGTCAATAGACCTTGCTCGCCATACTCAACCTGCAGCGACTCAGTCCATCGTAGTACTGCAAGTTTGGAGCTTCTATAACTCCCGCTGCCAGGACGAACGCTCAGGGCGCCTGATGATGATACATTGACCATAATGCAAGAACCATTGGGCCTGGAATGGCTTGATAGCTGCATTGGGAGGAATGCTCGGGCCATGTTGAAGAGGCCTCGGATGTTGACTTCCCATGTTCGCCAGTAAGTTTCTGGATCTGAGCCGAGGAAAGGCTTGTACGGTTCCATGTGTGCAGCATTATTAACAAGTATATCCAATCGCCCATTAAACTCTTTCACTATTGAGTCGTACATGGCCTTGACACTATCCTGACTTGCAATATCAACCTTGTAACCGATAACCACCGGCTCTTGGCGGTTGGCCTGCGTGGCGGACAATTTCAGTTTGTTGATGGCTTCTTCAGATATGCCGTGTAAATCACAGCATGCTATGAAAGAGGCTCCAGCACGGGCAAAGGCCGTAGCAGTAGCAAACCCCACTCCATCTTGATGTGCTGCACCAGTGATGAGGACATGCTTGCCGGTGAAGTCGAGTTTCAAAGGTGAAATGTAGTCATATGATGTTGCGTGGTGGGTGAGTATAAAGTCAGCGCCAGCGGGAAGCTTTGTCACAGTTGACATGATGAAGAAGCATTGGCAGGTAAAGACTTGAAGAGGAATGTTCTGGGGATATGTTATTGGGGAGGCGCGGGATTTGTAATTTGATATGTGCAGATCATGGATGTTAGTGAACAGGTGAAAAGTGGAGGAGGTCGGATGATGTAGGGAGATCGACCTCTCGGCCTTTGATGACCCGACATCAAATCCCTCAACAGATCATAAGCCAAATGAATTCAGTGAGCGTAGATTTGTAAGCAGATTATTACAAGTTGGGTTATTAATTACTATTTCAACGTGATCTCGCTTCCTTTACCCGGCAGTAGGGTGTCTCGACACGAGGGCCACCATAGATGACACAATGGTAATCACGAGATACTTGTTATGTAGTGGTTGTACTAAAGCCAGTGCTGTGAAAGATATGGTGAGGTTGTGCAGGTTGATGTGACGGACGATAACTCTGTTGACAAGGCCGTTATGCATATTAAGGAGAATTTTGGGAAGCTCGATACGCTGATTAACAACGCCGGTATGGCCGCTCTCATTGGCAAGACTAAATGCCTCATCCCATCCTGAACGCCAAATCCAGCAGGTGACCAACCTAAAGAGAATCTGATGGTAGCACCTAGGTATAGGGTAAGTAAGACAAAAGTAAACATGCTGATGTTGACATGATATTGGTTATCAACGGAGGATGAGGTGAGGACTTTCAGCATGTCGCCAGGGTTTTTGGCGATGGGGTTAGTGGGGGCAGAGAAGATGAAGAGTATGGGGGCAAAGAAGCCAAGGATAGGAGGTGAGTTGTTGAAGAAGGTGATTGAGGGCGAGAGGGATGATGAGGTTAAGAAGGTTATTTTCCACCATGGTGCAGTGCAGGACTGGTGATTGAAGTTAGTAAGAGTAGAAAACGCTTGATTTAGTTTTTGATTCTTGAATTTTAGAGTTCCTCTATATTCAAATCTGATAAGCTTCATCTCTTGCTGGCGTGGCTAATGCCAATATTCCTTGGAATCTGGTCGGCAACACTTCCACCTACCTACAGACCACTAAACCTCTTTTAATACGGAAGGTCGAGTGTCCCAGAGCCTGTTTGGACTCCTGTGAGGCGCACTAGCCGTATTAGGTCCGGAACTGGAGGCACCAAGCCGTGTCGGGGCTAGATTTGAGGACCGAAACTATTAACTATACCAATTAGAAGAAATTGACCTTCGAATTACAGTGAACGGGAAAATACATGGAAGGTACCTGGTTTAAGTCATGTCCCACATGCTGGCGACACGGCCAGGTATGAGTATGTTATGTATATATGGAACGAAAGTTGGTATATAGTCAATTTATCCTCGTGATGTGTTGTGACACCCAATATTCTATTTAAGCGGCGCGTTCTTCTCTGTCTCTCCTAAGATCTACAAGAACCAACAATACAACTCTAGCTTCAATGGCTTCGTTTTATCCCCTTCTACGGCTTCTGATTTCCCTTCTAATGGTAGCACCTCTAGGAGCCGCAGAGGATGTCAAATACTTCGTCACATTGTAAGTCTTCGACAAATAATCTATGTTTTACATTGAGTTACTAACAATCAACTAGTGGAAGCTCGACTACTCAAACCGGATTTCGGCTTGATAAGTCCAGACCCTCGGCTTCGAATCCTTTAGGAAACCCAAGCCTGCCCGGATGGACAACCAGTGGAGGATTGAACTGGTTGGGATATCTGATCACTGAGTTCAACGCCAGCACCACCTACTCGTACAACCTCGCTGTTGGCGGTGCCACTACCGATTCAGCCTTAATCCCCCCCTACTCGGACACAGTCAAAAGTTTCGTCGATCAGGTCGATGAACTCCGCCTAGAGTTTGCCACTAATCAGCCCTGGGTTTCTGAGAATTTGCTGGTCGGCGTGTGGATAGGGAACAACGACGTTGGCAATTCTTTTGCTCAAGACAACAAGAAGTCATTGTACCTTCAAACGTCGGCTAAATACATACAGCAGCTCCAGAAGTTATATGAACTCGGGGCACGGAACTTCGTCATCCTGTCAGCCGGCCGTGAGTTTCATTTCCATCACGTCTGCAAGGATCTCAGCTAATGTTTCTATCGCAGCGCAACACTGGACGCCACTTATGATTTCTAAAGGCCCAACATCTCAAGCCAAGCTAAAGAGTGCCGTCGAACTCTACAACCATTACTTGAGAAAGGGATTGAAATCCTTTACATCTCAAAACAAACAGGCCCGCGTCTGGTTTGTTGATTCTGAAAAGGCTTACTTAAAGGCTCTTGATAACGCGGCTACATATGGTGCTCCTAATTCAACCTGCGACAATCCCGATGGGCGGAGCTGCCTGTGGTGGAATAATTATCACCCGGGAACCGCCATTCATCGCCTCTTGGCAGAGGAGGTTGCAGGTGCTGTTGGCGGCCCGTGGTTTTCAGGGGAATCCTAGGTTCTGGCTTTGTTACGCAAGGCCTAGTTGTCACACCCCGTCAATACCGAAACCAACTGGCTAAGAGCACAGTTTTGCGGTCTGAACTTGGGAACAAGTTCAGTGACAATGCGATTATGTGTCCAGAGATACTCTGCAGGATAATTGGATAAAGATGCAAACTCTGCTCCCCATAGTAACCTTTGATCACGAATAGCTGAATACATAGCGTCCATAGCAGAGCAGAAGGAGGTATTTTTACGTTTAGGACTGCCTCAGCATGTGGATGTGGTTAATCTTCTGTCTTAATGCCAACCTGTTGTAATCTGCCTTTTCAAGAGTATATACATAAAAGGAGTACTGATAAATAGGGTTTAATAAGATTCGCTTTATGTTCAGCGTCGGATTTAGCGGCTGATAATGAGGCAAGCCAACATCGACTAATACCACCACCAAATTTCGACGATAAAGTAGAGCAGACATATCTTTATAATGTGATTGATTACGTTTTATTTCTACAGCAATCAAGGCGCTTAGTGGGTAAATAGTCCCAATCGCACTGGGGACGAAGCGCTTTACACAGTCTTGTTCGCTGCACTAGCAAGCTTGATCTGCAGCACAACGGAAAACGGATATACTGCATATATTAGGGCGCCAACACCACAGTGAATCCTTTCAAACTTCACTTCTTGTCCATCTAGAGATGCACTGATGATAGAGATACCACGAGCGCCTGGTCCAGCAATCGCAGGTTTCTGTGTCGACTGAGGTTGGATGAGGACCAAGAACCTCTGTGCATATTGTTAATATTTCTCGAGAAAGGCCTGTATGACGTAGAGCCTTCCGAATCCCGCAGCGCCCAGGAGCCCATTCATAATGGACTGCCCCATCTTGCCAGTTACACTGACAACGGTAACATTCATCTAGAAGAATTTAATTGACTTTTCTTCACTGTAGAGCGCGGCCTTGATTGCAAATGCAAAGAGGATGCTGGATCCCACCAGTTCCGGGAGGCTGGCACTAGTATCTGTTAACTTCCTTGTTTTGGGGGCAGAATATGGTTACAACTTTCAGGGGATTTTGCACTTAAAGTCAAAGCGGCGAAATTGAGTATTAGGTGTTAAAGTTTAAACTCTTCGCGGCTTTCAATAACAGTGAGGGATTCTACCATGCTTGGTGTTTCCTTCTCTTCATGCGGCCGCATAAGCCGCATGCATCCTTCCGCAAGAGCCGACCAGGCGATGGCTGCTCGGTGACAAATATTATAATAAATCTGTATTACATAGTATATCCGCGGTAGGGCCATTCTGGAAACGGTCAGACTCTACATATAATGTCCCTCTAGCCATCCCTGTTACCTTCCCAGGGCATTTCCACAGAAAACACCCTGTCTAAATAATAAGTTTTCCTGGCCTTGTCGGCGTGTGTGCGTGGTATATAATTATCATACAGTAATTATATTATAATACTGGCTGAACATCTGTAATCACGTAGATAGGGACTATCTAATAGTGGGAGACAGAATGCAGCAATTAGACAAATAGTGTCTTTTGTCAGGAGACTTACCAGTCAGGGAAGCAGCCATTCAAGAAAGCTCTATAGAAACGAGAAGTGAAACTTTATTCTTTACCCTGGCTCTTTTTCTTGCTGATTGGGCAAAATGTATGTTCAATGATCTGGAAAATCCCATAGCTAGCTAGAGACATTAAGCAGCATTCTGGGCCTTAACTTACCCTCAAGGGAGCCAGGGTTCAGGGTCAGGTTGAGACAACGGGACAATGCAATATTGTAATAACTCTATTGTGACAACACGTCATTACCGAGTTTGCCGGATCCCAGTGGCCGTGATTGGCAACGTAAGCTCATTGTGGCATTGAAGACGCCGGCCGCATCGTCCGCGTACACGTACGTGCCTACTATAGAGTGAAAGCATTGAGAGTAATATAAATAACCCCTCCATGATTCAAGGGCTTGATTTGGACACAGCATTAAGTACTTCAAAGCTTTTATCTTTTATCTTACTATTTAGGAAATATGTTGAAAAACCTAGCTCTGGCGGCGCTCAACAGCACCCTCGGTGCCACTATGCGTGGTGTCATGTTTGATGGCAGACCTTTTTCGATATCGGTCCAAGATCTTCCGATGCCACGCATCGAGTTGCCCACGGACGCTATCGTGAAGATCACAACTGCAGCCATATGTGGATCTGATCTCCACGCTTACCGCGGATACTCGGCGGCCACGACTCCCTACAACATTGGCCACGAAGCCATTGGGTATATCAGCGAGATCGGAAGCAACATCACCGGCCTGCAGGTCGGCGAATACGTCATCGTGCCAGACACATCGGCCCATGCACATATGCCACTTGCGCCAGAGCCGTTGACCTACTACGGCAACGGACCAGCGCTCTCGCCTGGGCTAGGCGGCCTCCAATGTAAGTAGATTGTAGCGGTGCCTTAACGTGGCGTTGTGAGCTAAAAAGCCGTGTCTGCAGCCGAGTATGTCCGCGTGCCATTCGCGGAAGGAAATCTGATTCCTATCCCTCTGAATAAAACGACAACAAACGCGACTCTCGAGCAGAGTTACGTGACAGTCTCCGATATCTGGAGCACGGCCTGGACCGGCCTGGACTTCTCCGGTTTTGAGCCCGGAGATACGGTCGCTGTCTTCGGTGCGGGCCCCGTTGGCCTGCTGACCGCTTACACGGCCATCCTGCGCGGTGCCTCGCGCGTCTACTCCATCGACCACGTCCCTATGCGCTTGGAGCGTGCCGCCTCGATCGGCGCCGTGCCTATCAACTTTGTCGAATCCGACCCGGTGGCTCAGATCCTCGCACACGAGCCCGGTGGCGTCGCACGCTCAGTCGACTGCGTCGGCCTTGAGGCTCTCAACAGCACCCTCCAGGTAGAGACCAATATCATTCTTAATCAGATGGTCAATGTCACCCGGCTTGGCGGCGGTATCGGCCAGCTCGGCATCTACGGCATCCAGCCGGGCGCGCCGGCCATCGTTAATGACAGCTCCCTGATTCACGACCCGACCTTCCCTATGTCCCTATTCTTTGGCAAGGGGCTGCGCATGCAGTCTGGCCTTGTAGACGCACGGACAGTCGCGCCCAAGTTGATCGAGCTTATCGCCTCAGGCAAGGCGGACCCCAGCTTTATACACTCGGCCACTATAAACATCGAGCAGGCGCCAGAGTATTATCGGCGGTTCAACCTCTCTCAGGAACTGAAAGTATTTATCTCTTTTCCTTAACAGAAAGAAATAAAAAGTATATGCAGGGATATCCATCGCGAGATGTGCCACTCATCTTGCGTGGTGAAGGAGGGGCAAACCGTTCAAGGGTAGCTATATTGTCTGATCAGGGCAATACAGTGGAAGAACCAAGACTTGATTGAGCTGTGTGGCTATTGTTATTTTTCTTACCTCTACCTTTTAACTTGGGCTTTATATTCCTGGTTTTAATTGGTATATGCCTGTATTGTTTACACAATATGCTTAAATTAACTTTATTAAATATAAGATCTATCTTAATTTCTCTAAGCTTTATATTAAATAATAATAATATATATTTTTAACTTATTACTTATATTAAGAAAACTAGGGCATTTTCCTAATCTTATTAACTTGCCCTTAGCTTTTAAATACTAATTATAAGTATTTCTAAATCACATTTACAAATTCAGGACCCTCGGCAAATAGCTGGTTATTGGGTGAAGTACTGTTGATGAGGCCTCGACTGGGCCTGCTAGTATATAAAAAAGGTTTCAAAACTTATGGCATCTGACTGTATAAGCAGAGGGCTCACTCCCTCGTGCTGGTAGCCCCGGAATGGTCATTGAGGCCAACGTACCTCAGGTTCCGTTAATTTACCCTTGAAAGATACCTTGACTCTCTTGATAGTGGCCAAATATCTCCATTTACGACTGGTACTGGGCGGGGCCGCGTTTTCCGCCCACACCCAGCAATGAGGACGGGCGTCTGTATCATACACAAGGTGGAGAGGGTGACTTGACGATGCACTTCCTAGGCACCACCGGGAATTTCACTTGCTCGAGGGTGAACTCAAAATCAATAAGCGTTAATTGACGGACTTGCCCTGTCTGAGAATCCGCTTCGCAACCATGCTCGGTAAATGACACGAAGTGCGGGGATTGCACAACACTATGCCCGAGCAGACCGCGTGACATAATGAGACCCTGGCTATGCACATCCCTGGCGACCGCACCTCACCCTATGAGGCACTCTATATTATCTACCTAGTGTGAATATATACTTGGTAGATTGTACCCTACACTCGGACTATTAACCTTGAGTGCAGCAGGGGTGAGGTCTAGAATAGTTGGGGTTGGAACAGGTGCGTGAACCGTGCACAAAGTTTCCTACATTCCGAAAATAGACTCAGGCGCGGCCGCACCTGTCCGCACCTAATCGTGGTTATGCAGTGTTGACTGCCCGCTCATAAAAGCGATGCTTCCCGATGATTTAGTCGCCGACATTCTTAAGTCTGACCAGCATCAACTCATTGCAGACGGCATCACCCTGAATTTTATAGTCAGCAGCAACCATTCTTATCCCACTCAATATTCTCACACCAAGCTTCCTACCTACTTCTGCCTAGTACCAACATGCCAGGAGATAATCAAGCAAAAGGCAGAAAGGCCGACGAGTCTGAGGCGTTCCCTTGGAGTACTGAGAACCTTCCGAACAAGCTATTCATAAACAACGAGGTATGACGCGAGGTTTCCAAACAATAGTTACAAGTCATTAACGCACTCAGTACGTCGAAGCCAAGAGCGGCCAAAAGTTCAAAGTAGTCAACCCAAAAAACGAATCCTTGGTCTCCAGCGAGGTGCCACTCGCCGGTGAAGAAGATGTCGAAAGGGCTGTGGAGGCAGCCGAGGCCGCATTCCCCGCCTGGCGCCAGACTACGGCGACTACGCGTCGCGACTGCCTGTTGAAGCTGGCGGATCTCATGGAGAAACACCAAGATACCTTGATTGCCCTCACAAGGTTGACCCTGGGCATGCCGGTGCAGCCCTTTGGTGGCATGGAGCTAGGTATGGCTATCAATGCGTTCCGTTATTTCGCTGGGTGGACGGACAAACTCGCGGGAGAATCTTTCCCACAGGACGACGGTTTCCTTAAGATCATTCGGCACGAACCGCTCGGAGTTACTGCTGGAATTGTGCCCTGGAACGGCCCGATGGGCATGACGGGACAAAAAGCCGGCCCGGCCCTGGCTACTGGCAACTGCTTTATTCTCAAACCGTCTGAGAAGACTCCTTTCGCGTCTCTAGCTCTCGGAGCGCTCATCAAAGAGGCTGGCTTTCCTCCTGGTGTCTTCCAAGTCCTATCTGGCGACGGTTCAACAGGTGCCCTGCTTGCTAGTCATATGAGGGTTAGAAAGATATCCTTTACTGGCTCTACTATGACAGGCCGCAAGATCCAGCAGATGGCTGCACAGAGTAACTTAAAACGGGTTACTCTGGAGCTAGGTGGAAAGAGTCCGGCTATTATCTTCGACGATGCGGATATTGATAACGCAGTTAGTTGGTGCGTCAATTGCATCACGGCAAACTCGGGACAGGCTTGCTTCGCGGCTAGTCGCGTCTATGTGCAAGAAGGAATCTACGATAAATTTGCTGCCAAGTATAAAGCCCTCATGGTGGAGAGAGCATCTACAATGGGAGACCCGGATGTGCCCGGAACGCTTGTTGGTCCTGTTGTTGATGCACTTCAGTTTGAGAAGATCAAGGGCTTTCTGGAGACTGGGAAGAAGGAGGGTAAGGTTCTGACGGGCGGAGAGGCAGCTCAGGGGCCGGTGAGTCGTCACTTGAAAGCAATCAGAAACCTAGAGACGCGCGGGACTGACGAACGAGAAATCTAGGGCTACTTCATCAAACCTACTATCTTCGAGGGCGTTCACAGGGACGCTGACATCGTCCGCCAGGAGATCTTCGGACCTGTGGCGGTTCTCAACAAATTCAGCACTGAGGAGGAGATTATCGACCTCGCCAATGATTCCAACTATGGCCTCATGGCGGGTATCTTTACTCAGGATATCAACCGCGCCATGCGCCTGGCAAGCTTAGTGGATTCTGGGAATGTCGGTATTAACTGCATCAGTATGGTCTTTATCAACGCCCCGTTCGGCGGCACTAAGGAGAGCGGGATTGGTCGGGAGAACGGCAAGGACGTGCTGCACGCGTTCACAGAGCCCAAGACTGTGTTTATCAACTTGACTTATTAGCAAGCTTGCGGAATTCGAATGGTCCCGAGCTTGACAGGTTGGCGATCTCTCAACGGCGGAGACTGAGAAAAGATTGAAAACAGGATTTGGCTCATTTTTCCATGCTGCTGCCCGTCGTGATTTAGAGCGGTTGCCGTGCCTTGTCTCGCGGTCCTGTCAATGCCACAGTGATACGGCTCTCATCGGAAGGGCCTGATGAGTGTATAGCAACTATCGGGTGTCAAGGGCAAGGATCAGGACCATCGTGAACAGCTTCATAGTTGCCATAAACTCTAAATCGCAGGCAGCATCCTGCTTCCTAGACGATCAGCAGACTCAACATTAGTACAAGAGACCGACTTTTATCGCTCCTTTAGATGGAAAATCCAGTGCTCATTTAAATCTTGGCTATCCATCCGTACATGCAATATCAGGTTTGGAATTTTTATTACCTTGCACAGCTGGGCTAGTTTATTTGTAGCCGACAAAGGCTACCTGCAAAACAGACCTTGGGAAATGACGCCACGCCCTAATGCTCTCCAACTTCAGCCGATGGACATTCCCAGTGCTGAGAATACTTAAAACTATTAACCACCGCCTCCTCTTCTCCCAGGGCACATCCATCCTTGGCCTCAGCAAGTTTGGGAAGCACTAAGAATCTGGAATGCCATGAACGGCACAGAGATGAACAAGCTACTACAGATAGCGCCATGTTGCCATCTTCTACCAGGTACATGGGCAAGAAGGCTTCCAATACTCGGGGAGTTGCGTCCCAGACGTGCCAAAAGTCCGGGTTTCAAGTTCAATCCAAACACATGGGGATGAAATGATCGTCGGACTTGGGAGATCAATAGCACTAGCTGGATTTGAAGGAGAAGGGGGGCTTCTCGTAGCTGTGGGCGCGTACGAGCTTTGGTGCGGCAAATGCGGCCGCGCACGAAGATTCTAGTATCCGAGTGCCCGAAGGTGCCCCACTCCCCCCCTCCCTTCCCACGCTCTGACCCGGGAAACTGGTCCGCCTTGGGGCCGCCTTTCTGCGGCCGCTGGAAAAGATAGTTGTGACGATTTAGACCTTGCCGGGCAGAGCATGCATTCTGTCGCAGGTCAGGCATGATCTCAACAAGCCTCAGGAAACCGGAACCCAATAGGCGCACGGTCCGTACACGCACGGGACGCAGGGGTCCGTAGCTGAGTTAGCAATAAAAGTATATCCTCTTGAACAGCAAGAGGCACTACTAGAATCTTCTAAGCTATATCTAGTTAGGCTATTGCCTATACCTTTAATACTGGCTAGTTAGTCTAAAGAAACTTATAATATTATATTTAATTAAAGATAAGAAGACTTAGTTAATAAGTTATTAAAGCCCTTAGGTAATAGCTATAATAATAAGAATTTAGTTACTTAAATTAATAATACTATAATAATATAATATCTACTAGAATCCTCTATAGTATTACTAGAGCTACTAGTATAAGTCTTATCTTATTATGCCCTTAAATTAATATATTAATAATATACTATAATAAGGAATGCTTAATATAAAGAGATGCATATTAGAAGTATTAAAGTAAGTAATTTATATTAAAAGATAATTAAATTACTATAATAATATAGGAGAACGCTGTATACTTGGTGCCTAGACTATAAGCAGATAGGCCAGCGTTGTCGGTTATCTAGACCTATTAGAGGCTGGATTAAGAAAGAGATGATGCATATATTAATTGGGACTTTGCACAAAACACATCAACGCTTAGGTGGAAAGTGAGGTAAAAAACAATCCTCGGGAAGTTACTTGTCGTAGTGTGATAGAGATTTGGCAGCGAGCTATCCATCAACACACTGCCGCTGATCATTGTCGTTTCCTGGCCTTTAATCCTTTTAGCACGCTCAGTGGGACACATTCTATGCAGTGACATCAAACTTTATCTCGCCTACATGTTACTCCCAAATCCTTAACTAGTCTTTCCGTACTTCACCAACCTCCCATAGATGGCATTAGATTAGGCAGAAAAAAGCAACCAAAAGCAGGGGAGCCGGGAATCAGAAGCCTCCTTCAAAAACAGAAAGCGAATGTACTCAAGCTGCGGTCCATAATGAGCGCCATCATGGCATCCCACTGCTCCGAGTCGACTGTATCCAGAATTAAGTCATCACTTGTGCCCGGGAAAGCCATATTCCAGCCGACCGCAACCGGTCCTAGGCTACCTTCCGCGAAGAATTCAACGCTACCGACTTGCGGAGCCGTTTCGGGCAATCGTGCTGTATTCCCCAACGTTGCCCGTCTCGCGCCTTGCTCGGCATGGAGTTTTTGGGCTTGGTGCAACAGCCTGGAGACTGGATTCCAAAGCGGATCACTTTTAGCCTCCTCGGGCAGTATGGCCAGCTGATTTTCCACTGCTGTCCAGGCGTGATCGAGAGCCGGACCCCATGGCTGGCTGCAGATATGGCTGAGTATGATGCTGAGCGCGTGCCACGGCACGGAGCTGCGGAGCTGCCATGACCACTGGCGGAACGAGGGTTCAGTCAACAGGTCGGCGGACTGTTCCAGTATGGAAGACGCGCTGCCTATCAGCCACGCGACATGGGCTTCAGCCGGGGGATCCTGACTGCTGCCCCCAGAATGAACGATTCGGTGGGAGAGCGTGGGTTCATACTTGTCAAGAACCAGTCGAATCGCACGCATGAGGAACAGCTGCGCAGGGGTACCGTAGGCGAGTTTGTCGAAGTAGTCTCGGTCGAGACGCCTCGTGGTCTCCCGACACAGCTTCAGCGTCTCCACCAGATCCATTCTGCCCTTCGATTTCAACGCGGACAACGAAGAGCTAGTACGCTGGGTCAGGCGCCAAAGCTCCGACCGGACGAGAATGGGCGTGGTGTCAGTTATCGCATTCCTGGCAACAGGTGGAACCTTCATACTAGGATCGAGGTCGGTATCGTTGGCGTTCGTGGGTAGTTTTGTGTCGAACATCTCCTCGTGGAGAGAGGCCTCAGCAATCTGGTCGGATCCGGAGCGCCCATCAATGAACAAGATATTCCACCATAGTCGCCGTCGCATCTCAATGTTGAAGGGACTCATGCCTGGGAAATTCGACCCGTCGCGGTGCAGTCCGGCTGACACTGCAACCCGAGCGAGCAGACCAGCCATGGACCAGACGTATTTCGGAGACTCCATAGTTTGAATTGTGTCAAGGAAGATGGAAAATGCCTGGATTCCGTCGAGCTCCGTGGTGTTGATGAAGTCGGCGAGGGCGAGTGCGATTTCTGTACCGGTGCGATACCGCGCGACAAGATCAGATTTTTCTGCATGCAACTTGATCTTGACCTTGTCCTTATCAGCCCTCCATGTCATAGGGAAAAAGGGGGGGAAGGGGTCTCGGTTCGCTCACGTCTTCATTACTCATAGAGTTGATAGCGGACATGGTGATGGCGAACACCAATGCCTCCATACCCGGAGTCATCCTGCTGAAATCACCTTGGAGGTCTTGGATTCTCTTCGCAAATGTTGGGACGTGCAACATCTTGCTGTACTGGTCAACATTCTCAATGTAGATTTGCCAGATGATAGGAAGTTGGGAGGGAAACGCGTGAAGATCCTTTAGGGGTACATCTTGTGCCCGACTCTGCCAGAATAAGAAGAGCAGGGAGTCGTCCCGTCTTTGTCTGGTTAGGTCGCGGGGAATTGATCCGTTGGGGGAAGAAGTTTCAGCCGAGTAAATATCTCCTTGCCTGTCGTCATTGTCGAAGACTTGTTTAATTTGGTTGATCTATATGTCCTAGTGTGAGTATAACCAAGTCCGTGGCATGTTGGCTGGGCAAGAGAACTCGGCCGGGAGCCCAGGGGTACATACATCATCACGAAACGCGGCCCAAAACTGATTCCCGATATAGACACTTCCATTCTCATCGACGACGAGACGGCCGACTTCCTCCCCAAGCCTCGCAGTCTTGTCATCCAGCTCAGAACCACGGCCGTCTTTGCCAATCCCTTGACCGACAAACCCGGCACCATCTAACTCGACGGAGCCGCTTTCTGTCGGCCCCTTGACCTGGGCTGCCAAGATCTCCACGACAGACTCTAGACGTTGAAGGCGTGATAGCAAATGAGCCTGCTTTCTTTTCGGCGTCTGGGCGCTGGTGCTGTCATGGCGCATCGATCTTCCAGGGGCGGGGAAGACGCACTCGGTTATGTTTCTCGTACAGCTCAAGCAAGGGCTCTGGCGGTCGCATCGCACCTTACGCCGGCGGCAAGCAAAACAACTCCGCGGCCGAAAAGCAGGCAGTGGAGGCGCTTGGTTTGCCCCGGGTGAGGCTCCAACAGAGTTAGACATGTCAGAGTTGGCCATCTGCAACGATGATCGTTGAGGTTGCGAGAGAGATCGCGGAATTTCTGACGAACAGGCTGGATGAGGGGACTACTTCAGCATGCCAGGCCGGGCTCGACGTGACTCAGTAGAAACGCCAGCTTGAGGCCCCAACGCATTTGCCCCTTATCTACCATGCCGGGCTTGTTCGCACTATAGCATCATTCTGTGCGCGTCAAGAGTTCGGTACATACCGACCTACAATACACCCCTGATACGTAGACTAATCGAATTAGTTGAGGACATGGTGGAATGCCGGAGGATTTAAACTTTTGCCATTATGTAGGTGCTTGGGACCTGTGGGATAGTAGTCCCCGCTAACATGGGCGCTTTCGGCTTTAGGTAGAGCGTGCCCTGATGTGGTGAACTACGGCTGGCCACGGGACACCAGGTTCGCTCTAGAGACCCACTTGAACCGGCGTGGAGCCACACCAGTTAGGACCATCCAACCACCGGCCTCGGTGTCGGATGCCCCCAGGTATGGATGCTGCGGCCGCATGTTCCGCATTGCAGAATGCGGACTTTCTTTTTGGTTTATTCTTCTGGGAAGCTGCGACAACCAGCATGGGGTGGGGAGACCTGGGCGCTGCCAACACTGACAGGCATTGCATTTAATCGGCCGCAAGCCTCAAGCTTGGCAGAGGTCTGGTTGCAAGCCTCAGCCTTCCCAGAGCATTTCTTCTCTCCCCTCCCGTCAATATGGCAACTTCCTCGTCACCGACCTCATTCATCCCCACGAGAGACATCCCGCCGCTTACCGACAAAGTGATTCTGGTCACTGGCGGTACCGCAGGCCTGGGCAAGCAATCGATTTTGGAGTTCGCAAAGCATGATCCTGGGCACCTCTGGCTGGCCGCACGCAATGTTGCCAAGGCGCAGGAGACGGTTGATGAAGTCGTCAAGTCCGTTCCCAATGTCCACATCAGCGTCTTGGAGCTAGACCTCAGCTCTCTCGCGTCAGTTCAGCGCGCCGCAAGTCGATTTCTCGAATCATCGTCTCGGCTCGATGTACTGTTGAACAACGCAGGCATCATGGCCCATCCAGAGGGTCTCACCAAGGACGGGTACGAACTACAGTTTGGAACCAACTTCCTTGGTCACGCTCTCCTTATCCGACTGCTCCTGCCCATCATGCAGCGAACCGCGCTGCAGATGGGGCCGGGGGACGTCCGCATCGTGAGTCTGACATCAGGGTCACATGCTCGAGGGCCGCCGGCGGGGATTGTATTCGACTCGCTCAAGACCGACGCCAGCTCTCTCTCAGCAGTCGAAAGGTATGGCCAGAGCAAGCTAGCAAACATCTTATACGCCAAGGGGCTGGCCAGCAGGATCCCTGATATTCGTATCGCATCTGTAAATCCAGGAATGGTGAGAACAGGTTTGACAAATGTGATGGGCAAGAACAACTTAGCCTATCGTGTGATCCTGTCTGTGTTGTCTCCCATTATGGGGGTCTCGGTTGAGGAGGGAGTCAAGGCACAGCTGTGGGCTTGCACAGCTAAAGATGTTCGGGGCGGAGAGTATTACTCTCGCATAGGAGAGACCGGTAAAGGCAGTCCTCACACCAAGGACCAAAAGCTCGCAGACGATTTATGGGATTGGACTCAAAAGGAGCTCGACGCATTCTTAGCCTCGAGTCAGTCATGATTGGTGGTTGGAGTTTGGACACAAAGTATTCTCGGCAGGAGGACTGTGCAAACGAGAAGGTTTCTCCTGGTTCTGATTATATTTACGAGGCTTCTATAGGCTGCTTGTATCGAGCACAACCCCATAGGCCTCAATGAGAGCTCTCAACTTGTTCCCAGTTGCAACCCCCTCATGTCTAGAACGAAAGAACACAGCATAGCTTGATTTTGACATTGGGGTCCGACATACCATTACGTGCCGGGAATCGGAATAAAACCAGAGTGACTTGCTTTAACTCCGATCCCCCTTCCCTCCGGGCTCAGAGACGCCGACACTCAAGACCCTTTTGAGTTTTAGCTATACGTCAGCAACTGTAATACTTCTGGGCTGATAATGCATCTGTCTTGGGACTATTTGCGTCCCTGCACTCCAGGCAGTTTTGGGCAGGTCACGGCGGGTTCAACAACTCCAAGTTAGTCCGGGGGTTTGTGTGGGAACTTTTCCTACTGCCGTGTGCGGCTGGCGCGGTCGACGCGGGCGCTAATGTTGTCGATAAGTCTGGTGTATTGGATGCGCGGTGCGGACTTTGAACAACTCCGCCATGCCGCCGTCCGGAGTATAACTTTAAAATCGCGCTTCATACGAAAAAGACTTAAATCAGCGACTTAGTGTATATATTTATGTGTGTGTGTGTGTGTGTTTTAGTCTAGCGCAGCGGAGCTTGACTCCCTGCCGACCACCATATCGGAATAACGCATGTCTCGTTCTACTCCGGCGGGCTTCACGTTTCAAACGTCCTAAATGAAGGCAGCTCGGGTCCAGTATCGGTCGCAACTTAAAAGTTGCTCTAAGGCAGCCTTTTAAGTATAAATATTTGGAGCCCCCCTCTGGCCAGATTCCATCGACTTCGAACGCCATCCCAAAATAAGCCAACTTTTCTAACGCCTCCATCGCAGTTGGCATCCACGGCCCTAGCAACAATGGCTCTCTCGCCCGAAGAAACGTCTCAGGGGATGTTGGGTCAGCTACCTAACTCGCAGGCTCCTACCATAGTCCCCGAGAATGACCCAGGCAGCCCTTTGGACTCATCCTTCTTCCCCGGCGAGAAGAAGGAGGCGGAGGAAAGTGGTAATAAGAACAGGAATGGAGCCAAGCAGGATGGCGCAGCATCATTCTTTCAGGAGGAATATCCGACCGGGCCTCGTCTGGCCTTCGTTGTCCTTGCTTTGGTCCTCAGTATCTTCCTCGTTTCTCTGGATATGGTAAGCTTCTACTATGGCCATAGCATACACACCGTACGCTAAGCGCGGCTAGACCATCATAGCCACAGCTATCCCCAAAATTACGGATGAGTTCCACAGCCTGGACGACGTGTCGTGGTACGGTTCTGCATTCTTCATGTGTGTTGGCGGCTTCCAATCAGCATGTAAGTGTGTCTACAATGACGAGCCTTTCCACCTCTGGTCCCCAAACAATATCCATTCTAACCATGTGCATGCATACAGGGGGGAAAGCCTACAAGTTCTTCCCACTGAAGCCTTCCTATCTGTTGTCCATAGTTATCTTCGAAGTCGGGTCCTTGATCTGCGGCGTGGCGCCAAGTTCAACAGCCTTAATCGTGGGCCGTGCTATCGCTGGTGTTGGCGCAGCAGGGATCGGTTCTGGTTCATACACACTGATTGCCTTCTCCGTACCGCAGTCCCGCCGACCTATATTCACAGGAATAATAGGCGCATCGTACGGCATTGCCTCGGTAGTGGGGCCCTTGGTCGGCGGTGCCTTTGCAGACAAGGTCAGCTGGCGATGGTGCTTCTACATTAACCTCCCGATCGGCGGCCTCTCTGCGCTTATTATCATGTTCTTCTTCCGAACCCCTCCGCAGGGGAAGCCCGCTGTCGCCTCCTGGACCGAAAAGCTACTACAGATGGACTTTGTCGGCGTGGCCCTGGTCATGGGCGCCATCATTGCCTATATTCTGGCGCTACAATATGGCGGCCAGACTCACCCCTGGAAGTCTGGCGTCGTGGTCGGTCTGCTTGTTGGCTTTGTACTCATCACCATTGCCTTTGCCGTGTGGGAGTATACTCAGGGCGATCGGGCCATGCTCGCCCCTGCTTTGATACGGGACCGTCATATCTGGACCAGCTCAGCCTTGTCCCTCCTTTTGGCCGGCCCCTATTTTCTGGCCATCTATTATCTGCCCATCTACTTCCAGAGCATCGACGGCACCAGTCCTACCACCTCAGGAATCCGCAACCTGCCACTGATTCTCACCATTACAATCGCCACGATTTCTTCCGGCGCCTTCATTTCCATGACGGGTATTGCGGCGCCGATAATCCCAGTTGGAGCAGCCATCGCAACAGTTGCTGCAGGCTTGCTTTACACCTTGGACATCGGGTCAAGCTCAAGCAAATGGATCGGCTATCAGGTGCTCGGCGGGGTCGGCTGGGGCCTCTCGCTGCAAATTCCCATTATCATCGGACAGGCAACGTCTTCGCCAGAAACATTGTCTTCAGTCACGGCCATCATTCTATGTAAGTCTCTCTGCAGCACCTAACTACTCGTTGAATATCCATCGCTGACAAGCGTTCGCCGCTAGTCTTCCAGACCATTGGGGGGGCCTTCTTTGTTTCGGCCGGCCAGTCAGCATTCGTCAATATCATGCTCAACGTGCTGCCCACCGACGCCCCCGGTGTGAACCCACTCCAACTTCTCGCCACTGGTGCCACGGAGGTCCGCGCAACCTTCCCGACCGATCAGCTTAATGGAATCCTCAGCGCTTATATGTCGGGCATTAAGGGGGCCTTCGCAGTCGGTATCGGAGGCGTTGGGCTTGCTTTCGTGGTAAGCCTCTTGCAAAGGTGGGACAGGCTTAATCGCGAAGCACTGAAGGAGAGTGGCGGTGCAGCCTAGGGAGGTAATGTAAGTAGGTGTTGAGCAGGCTTGGCTCTAAAATGAGAGTTTAGCCGGTGCAGTCGATTTGGGATGTAGTGGTTATGGTAATATGCACATATATTGCTGGTTCCTTTTGCCTTGGTCAGAGCAGGCAGTTAATAGACAAGAATGACCGGGGAGCACAACATAGAAAGAATAGTCACGATAATTTTATTCCATTCAGGCCCATGTTATTCACCGGCAGCTGGACTTGAAGTGTACTATGTAAGCTTAAACAAACTAGTGTATTAACATACAGCGTGCTACTGCGCTTCTCCTGATGAAAGACGTCAGTCCCGCGCATGTGTCCCCTCCACCCAGCAAACCCAGCCCACAGTGCAGCGTACAGATACAATCTACTTGCCTCTTAACTAAATCTCTTTAATTCCGTCATACGAAACGGTCTTCTGTCCATCTCAACTAAACACCTCAACTAGACTCCTCCTAAAAAGTCAACTTTCACACATCCACTCTTAAATCTCGACACTCGGCGCCTCAATCACATGAACCGTCTAGCTGTGAATGAAATACTATTTAAGCTGTTTAACCAACGACGGAGCCTTCTGTCGTATTGTGAGGGAATGAAATGAAGATCTTGAACTCCTTGGTGCTATTGAATCACTCGTAGTACTCGGGGCTGTTCTCGATGTTAATCAGGGCCGACGCGATGAGAGTCGTGTTGACCCTCCCCTGGCGATCAGGTTGACCGTGTCGGGGGCGATGCAGGATGGCTGCACGGGACCAGCCTCATTCTTAAAGCGTATTGATCCAAAAATCACGAGTAGGCAAATCCATGCAAGTTTGGGATGTTCCTGGAGGACGGAGGCGCCGAGAATTTAATTATAGGCACCGACCTCGTCCATGCCGATGCAATCGACGGCCCTCTGGACACCCAGAGGCCCATGTACGAGGACCTGAGTCGACTTGACGAAGTTGATCGGGATAGAACCGATGGAGCGGGCGACCACGAGGCGTTGGTTAACGTGGTCGGCCGAGTAAACTCGGGAGGCGCCGCGCAGCATGGCCTGTAACAGAGTTGGAAAATAGTATAGTACCCGTTGGCTCGAGCCGGGAGGGGGGGCCAACTAAGCAAGCTTAGTTGGGCACAAAACCGTGAGACACACACAAAAGGATGAGACAGATGGATTATACCAAACTTTAGGTGGAAAGGTTACGTAAGAGGGAAAATTCCTCTTAATATAGCTATTATATAAGATCTAGCCTAATTGGTAATTAATATAAATATTCTAAATATTCTTTATAAAAAGAACTATTTAAAAAAAATTTTTAAGTTTATAGGATTGTTCTATAATTAATTATTTTAATTTATAATATTTTCCTTAACAATTTTATTTTTTAAATTTTATAAATTTACTAACTAATATACTTTAAGTTCAAAGCTTATATAAGGCTGATAGAATTAATATATATTTTTCTATAATATATTTATATGTTAAATACTTTAAATATAATTATTAAAAATTTTTAATTAATTTAATTAATAATAAAAAGCTTTTTTAAATAAATATTTTAAAATATTTAAAGGTTAATTTTATAGCTTCTATTAGCTTTAAATATATACTTTAAGCTTTATTTATATTTTATTAACATATTTATAATATATTAAAATTCTTTAAAAATCCTAACTAATTTATAAGTATTTTAAAATAATATTTATTATTTTTACTTAAAACCTTATTTTAAAATATATATAAAATTATCTTTAAGGTTATTTCTTAATTTTTAAATATAATTAAGTAAATAAATATAAAAAACATAATATTTAATTTATAAGATATTTCTTTAATTATTAAAGAATTATTAAAAAATTATATTTTTAATATTTAAAACTAATATTTAATAGCCTATATAAGCTATTAAAATTTTAAATTAAAATTCTTATTTTTCTATAAGCTTTATATTATATTAATATAATTTTTAAATACCTTTTAGGTATTTTATTTCCTCTTTTATAGTATTTTTAAGTTTATTATCTCTTATCTTATCAGCGTCTCCTATCTTACCCTTTTGTGCATGTCTTACGGTTTTGTGCCCAACTAAGCTTGCTTAGTTGGCCCCCCCCTCCCGGCTCGAGCCAACGGGTAATAGTAATAGTAATAGAATTTTAGTATTACTAATAGAAAAAAAGGCTTAGTAATTACTATATTACTATTACTAATTTATAAAAAGAAAATTAATTATTACTATATAACTAATTAGTAATACTAATAGTATTATAATAATAATTAATATTTTATTTTTTAAAAAATATATATTTAATTTAAAAAAATAGAATATTAATAAATTATAAATAAGAATTCTATATAATTTATTAAATATATAATTTATATTAAATACTTAATTATCTTAATTATTATATAATTATTATATATTCTTTTTTATATTGCTTTTCTTAAATACTTAGAAAAAACAAATCTTTTTATTAAATTAAATTCCCTTATTATTTAAAAAATAAAACTAGTATTACTATTAGTATTACTAATATTACTATTACTAATTCTTTTTAAAATAGTAATAACTATTATTACTAATAGTAATAGTATAGTAATAGTTCTATTAGTATTATTAATAGTAATAGTAATACTAAAAGAATTCCAACCATGGCCTCTAAGCAGCCAGGCTGTCTCTAGGCTAGAAACCCGACTAGGCGAGTGCCATCCAGCCGGTGGCTAGAATATCACCGACGGTGATAAAGCTCTGCTCCAGGGGTCGGGTTGGTCTCGTTCAGATGAATAGACAGGGGGATCAGGTTGGCCAGAGAATGGGTGCATTTCCCCCGATAAATCCGAGGCTGGTGGTCAAACTTACGACAACGCTGAAACGGAGTTAATGTAGTCAATCCTGCACCAATTCAAGGTGCGGTCGGTGCGGCCGCGCTTCAAATGGATAGGTTTTAGCTTTCTATTCACATGAGACGGGTCGGGGCTTCACATTGTGAGCCCTCCGATGCAACCCCCCAGTCGGCGGACTTGTAGACGCTGAGCGGAGTCAGCGAACGGAGCGGACTTCGCCTTCTTTTTCAATTCAGAATCGTTTACTGTAGATGGCCCTTCTCCATGGCACACATCAGGCTCAACTAAGCATGGACATGTAACAGACGAAGAAAGCATAGTCAAAGTACTCCGCTGCGGGACGGACATAGTATTCATGTGGCGGAGAGAAACGGAGCTGAACTCGATGTCCGTCCATTTCCCCCCTCCTCGTTCTTTATAACTACACATTGCTTCTCATTAACTTACAGTCACTTCCTACTGTATTACTACATATAGTTTCTTCTTATAACTTACGATAACGCCTCTCTACCCACCCCACGTGAAGGCTTGATCTTCGAGCCAAAAACAACATCAACCAAAATGGTCTTTGTCGCTGTTGCTGGAGCTTCCTCCGGTGTGGGCAAGGTTATTGCAGATGCCGTTGCAGCAGGGAGCAAGCATGAGTACATTATCCTCAGCCGCAACCCGTCTGCAGAGCCAAAGACGGTGCAAGTTGATTACAATGATATCGATGGTCTAGCTGCGACGCTAGACAAGTATCAAGTCAACACGGTCATCTCTGGTCTCTCTCTCGCCACTGATGAGGCGGGCCAGAACCAGGCCAATCTGATCGAAGCCGCCAAGCGGGCTTCGTTCACGAAGCGCTTTATTCCCAGCGAGTACGGGTCCAGGTGGAAACGAGAGTAAGTCCTTAGCGTTCGGTCTCCACCTCTCATGTGTTGGTGGCTCCGCACTATATCTTTCTGGAACCTGGTCAATTGCTAAAGCTTCATGCCTGGACAGGAATATCCCACCTATGCCTACTTACAGAGGCAAGCTGAAGGCAATCAAGGCCTTGGAAGACTCACACTTAGAGTTCACTTCAGTCTACAACTCCTTCTTCCTAGACTACCTCGGCGTCCCCCACGTCCCGACCACCATGCCTTATGCGCCCAACGTCTTCATTGACCTGGACAACAGATTTGCAGCTATTCCCGGAGATGGAGAGGAATACTTTGTCGCCACGCACACCCGTGACGTTGGCCGCTTTGTCGTGGCCCTCCTAGACCTGGAGAAATGGGAACCAATTTATACCATGCACGGAAGCCGACAGACCATGTTGGAGGCTGTGAAGCTGGCCGAAGAGCTCACAGGCTCTAAGTTCACCGTTGTCCATGACTCGCTCGAGAAGCTAGAGAACGGGGAGATCACCCTAACACCAACGGCGCTCAAGATGTATGAAGGTAACGACCAGGCTATCCGGCTCTTGACACAACAGCTGTCCGTGTTTGGAGGGTGGCTTGCCGAGGGACATATGGATCTGGACATCTCTCTCAACTCGCTCAACAAGGAGTTCCCCGATATCAAGCCCCTCACCTGGCGCAACATTATTGAGACGTACTTGAAGAAGTAGCGTGATCCACCTAAACTCCGTGCACCCCCCAAGCCTACGCACTCTCACAACATCACTTATAGAATGCAATACTGGCAACACCCTTCGATTTCTAAACTATAGCTGCAAATTACAAATTTAAAGCCACATTTGACATATCGTGGCCTTGTTATTCTTCGATGAATGTTTCTATAGTTTCTTCCTATCTAGTAGGTAATTGCGACTTAGGTCTTTAAGGCCACAAAGAGAATTCCTCATCTTATATAGTTTAACCAGGCAGTTAAATGCCTGAATAACCTGGAAATATGTTTTCTTTGTCTTAGACCTACCTTGCTTTTGTTTAGGAATGGCAAGTGGCTTACTAGCTATTATGAGACATAGTAATAAATAGTCTTTAGCTAATAACTATAGAGCTAGCCTTGGGGTTAGGATAGGGTTAGTATCTTAAAGGTGTGGTAAATATAAAAGAAAACACTGCCTAGGATAGCAATTCTAGGTATCCTTTAATTAAAACTTATTTTCCTTAAATAATATAAATTAATTAAAAGATGGATTTTTTTATAAAAAGAAATTAAAGAATTATATAAAATAATATAAAAGTTAAGTTTAAAAAAGTATATTTAAGGTTAAGTTTTTTAAGGAATTTTATTTCTTTTTATTATTAATAATTTATATAAGTTCTTATATTTTAAATATAATAAATATCTTTTCCCTTATATATAAGTTATATCTTATTATATATATTTAATTAATTTAATTATAAGTTTAAGTTAATTTAACTTTTAATAATAAACTTATATAGAACTTAATATAATTCCTTTAATTTCAACTTTAATAGAATTTCTAAACCCTGCCTTTATTTTATATTTATTTAACTCTTTATTTATATATACTAAAAAGGATATAAAATACTTATTCTGCCTTTATAATTTTATTAATTATATACCATTTTGTGGTTTCTAGAGTTATCCACAAGATAACAGAGTGAGATATAAACCTGTTGAGATGGTGGTTGAGATGATATCAGTATCAGGCAGGGTTCCCTCCTTGCTTTATTATATACCTGAGTATATAGTAAATTACTTATTAGTAAGCATTCTCCAAAAAACTGAATCTACCGGTACAATGTTACCTAAATATTAACAACTATTCAACTTCAAGTTTTAATACAAGAAATAGCTTTCACTGCCCTTCACCACCAGACACAAGATATCTTTCCGCAAACCTTAAAAGCATTTGCGGTGAATAATGGACGGGCCACTCTCATCATAATCCTGTTTGGTAACCCACATCTGCTGGAATGTCGAAAGCGATGCGAGGATAGAACCTCCAATCCAAACCGAATATTTCCTCTCAGGAGGAGCTACAACCTTGACCTTCATAGATGAAGGCGCCAGGGCAACAATCTCCTTCTGCATTCGATCGGCGATACCAGGGTACATGGTTGTGCCTCCAGACTAAGATCACAAGTCAGTGACTTGGGTTTCTTGAGCTTTGAACTCATCAGGCAGGTGGAGTTATACCATAATTAGGTTACCATAAAGGTCTTTTCGAATATCAACGTCGCTCTTCATGATTGCGTTGAAGGTTGTCATATGGATACCGCCCGATTCTAAGCCGATAACGCCAGGCTGGAAGAGGGCTTCGGGAGCTCGGAAACGTTCATTGCCGATTGTAAGCACCTGGCCATCTGGTAATTCGTACGTCTTTTCCAATGCCGAGCTTTTGGCTGCTGTCTCGACTTCTTGCTCAAAGTCTAAAGCCACGTAACATAGCTTTTCTTTGATATCACGAACAATCTCGCGCTCAGCAGTAGTCGAAAATGTATATCCACGCTCTGTTAATAGTTTCATAAGATAGTTAGTCAAGTCCCGACCGGCCATATCGATACGGGAGATAGCATGTGGGATTGCAAAGCCTTCGTAGATTGGAACGACGTGAGTAACTCCGTCGCCAGAATCAAAAACAATACCAGTGGTGCGGCCCGAAGCATAGAGAGAAAGAACGGCTTGAATAGAAACGTAGAAAGCTGGCGAATTAAACGTTTCAAAAAAGATTTGCGTCATCTTCTCTCTATTCGACTTTGGGTTGATCGGGGCTTCAGTCAAAAGAGCAGGGTGTTCTTCGGGAGCTACACGGAGCTCGTTGTAGAATGTATGATGCCAAATCTTTTCCATATCATCCCAGTTGGTGACTATACCGTGTTCAATAGGGTATCGAAGCGTGAGGATACCGCGCTTAGACTCTGCTTCATCTCCGACATAGGAATCTTTCTGGCCCATCCCGATCATGATTCTATAGTAAGAGCACATGGTTAGCTCTAGACATCACGTCCCAGGAGTCGAAAGGCTTGATCATTTCTGGACAAGCCCACACGCTTTCCACTCTTTCATCCAAAAATATTACGAGGCACAGGGGCTATATGCTTACCCATGATGGCGAGGGCGCCCGACAATGGATGCTATACTTTGATCAGCGACAGCATCAACAGAGCAGACCGGGTTTGGGCTGAGGTCAAGAATGTAAAAGACCTGATAACCATCTTGGATGGTGAAAGATCTGGACACAACTTACGGAAAACAGCACGGGGGGCATCGTCCCCTGCGAAGCCCGCTTTACACATGCCCGACCTGAAAGAGGATGATCAGTCCCCAAGCGTCGAATAACACCAGCTGACGTAAGCTGGTAGCGACATACCCATTGTCGACGACGAGAGCTGCGGCATCATCTAGAAGTAATGATCAGTAAGGATATGCTGTCCAAGAAGCCGCATCCTGAACTCAGATGTGGCTGTGACTAGACTCACCATCCATTGCAAAGACTTAAACAAGAAGTTAAGATGTAAAACGTGCTGAACTAAGAGGGTGATGTATAATTAAATTTGGCGGACGACCGAATCTGATGATAGAAGATGTAAAGACCCCACCAAATGAATACTAACAGCGGTGATTGAAGGGTAGAAAGAGCGGTAATACCAATAAACGCGCCTTGGGGGATACCCTTTCTTTATCATGGATGTTTCTCCATTTCCCTTTTCTCTTCGCAGTTGCAAGCAAGGATGCCGAATCGTGAACCGAGTTCGGTCCACATTTCGGAGTGTCGCCCGCCGCGGATCCGCGGCAATAACGTAGCACATAACGGACACATCGACGGAGCAGGTACGAACGGAGGGAAAGTCATAGTGTTATACTTGATGCAGACTAGCATGTTTCTGATATCTCACAGAAGGGATCGGCTAGGAATACTGTGCACTGTTGTTGGCGAGGCCCGACAATACATCCGGCGAGCATTGGCTAGAAGCATGAAGTACCTTTTCCCCAACACCATCACCAGGAATAACTATCCTCAGAGTAAAGCTTGACTGGATAATTCCGTAGAGCCTCAAAATGGTCCGTTGTAACCTGGAACAACGAGGCCGCGCCACAGTCACCATGGATACATCTAACAGAGAGGAGAATGACTTTCATCGCCACTGATGGATTTTCACGTCTAGTTCCTGCGCCACTGTGTAGGTAGACTAGTCTAGCATGTTAGTCGTCATTGCATCTAATGTTTTTCAGGCTCTAGCAACGCAAAAGTATCCAGTCGCCCTTGTGCGTATGTAACCTTGGTCCGCTGCAACATTATAGATATTTTCAGTGAGTATCCTTCCTTCAACATGTTATAGTCAGTTTCAAATGCAGGGTATCTTTTTCACATTCAGAAAGCTATCTTAGGCAGAATTTACGTTATTTCCTTATCCAGGGCAGGGAATGCTTCAGGACTGATCAATACTTAATACTATGCCCCGGCTGCGGAAGACTGTCTTCAGCGGCTGAAACCCTGCAATTTATTTGTAAGAAACTAATCCTATTTCTAGGTGGTATAAGGGTTAAATGATAAGAACAAAGCTTTCAGGAGATCCAAAAGTACGAACGCCTTATTGTGCTCCTACCAGGCTTTGCCACAAGCTATCCGTCTTGAGGGCTTCCAGATGCTCTGCCTTGAGCATGATAACCACTTCAACAAGATTCTTGGAATGAGATGCGGACTCGACTCTTCTGCGAGGCAAGATAATGCAAACTCCATCTGCTGCGCTGAAAGGGAATCGGACAAACTCGGGCTGCCCAAGCTCTGAGCCCCAGCCCACCTGATACAAATCTAGATCGGCCCAGCTGGTGATCGTGACGTCCCTATGGTTGAAAAAGTCCCATCCAGGGAATATTGTGCTGCAGTCCCTGGCCTGTCTGCCTAGTTCGAAAACATTGGCAATATGCTGCGAGTTGATTTTGGCTGGGGCAAACGATTGAGTGATAGTATTGCATACTTCTGCATGATCACGGGCAGAGGCTGCAGCATGTTTCAGAGTGTCAAAGGGTCGTTCAGCAGAAGCGTACAGAACAAGGTTACCGATGTACGGGTTGTCTGGCGGGGAAAAGTTGGGACCAATTCGCCGACGGCCATTGACAGCCATAACTAGCCGGCTCGAGGTGTGAGCCAGGGTGTTTTCTTTATGCTGTGCCCGAATGCGCGTGATGAAAGACCATAAAAGTGCACAAAGTACAGTATTGGTGGAAGGGGGCTTTTCTAGGAGAGGGGCCAAAACCTGTTTGTAGGCATCCAGATGCTCAGTTGGTATCGTAAACATCTGAGAACCGAAGGACGGGAAGCTTGCTGGCATGGCTGGAGGAATAGGAGAGTATTCAGGGAGCAAACTGAATAGCTGCTCCGTATTCTTGGACGATGCCTCACTAATCTGAGAAGCAAGTGCTTCAGAAACACGAGATAGCCTGGTGCCACCAGACTGTGATGTAGACGATCCACGTGTGGTTGTTTCCTGAGCCCAAATCCTGAGCACTTCGGTGAAACCCGCCGCGTCAACCGCGTGGTGATGCATACACACACACAGTCCAAGTCCTTGGTCATCTTTGAAGCGAAAGACACTAGCTCCAAAAACCAAAGAATCGTCGCTTCCAGGTAATGCGCCAAGTGGCCAGACATTTTCTGGAATGGTGGTGGAATGCATCGCGTGAGCCTCTAGGCTTGAGAATGGTTTGTCGATTGAGCCACAGTCAATGATCTGCGGGGAGCCTGAATCGGAGGAGTAATGGATTGCACCATGTGCAGCCCGTTTGTTGCCATTGCCAGCGGAACGAACTTGTCCAGATATCCACGGTATTTTCTCTGTCGTAGCATTCAGACCACACTGAAGTTGCTGAGACACTACGTTGAAAGGCTCGGAAGTCCGAAAAGCCAGAAGCACACGAATGTAATTCTTGGGCATCAAAGCATCCAATGCAGTGAGGGGCTCAATGCGCGGGTTGCCGACATTTGATACTGAGGAATACGACATTTTGAAGGGCTTGCGAGCGGGATGAGGAGGCAGTGTAGATGATGATGTATGAGTTATCATTCTGCGCAGAAGGTTATTGATTATTTATGCCTTTCTCATACCCTTCTCTGCCATCTTCATTCATGGAAGCACGGCCCGGCCTCGGTCTGAAAACGGGAGGGCGTGGAGCCGCGCTCCCCGTGCCTCCGGCAAGGACAAGACAGGTTGACTCAGGTAGAGAACCCACAGTTTGACATCGGCCCCCACGAAAGGAACCGATTGGATGTAGGGTAAGCTTCAACGATGTGACCCGGGATTGGAAGATCGATCGTTGTCTACTCATGACCAAATTCTAGTGGATTCATATATGCGATAGATTTCGGAAGACTTTAAAAACTGCATCGAGCTTATCAACATGCTTGATTGGGCCGCAGGCAATTTTAAAAGTCCCCTTAACTATTCCGGGGCTCCTTCTAAAGTTCCTATCTTATCAATATTCCAGCTACCCAGCATAGATGAAAAGCTGTCAGATTCATGGTTGGTGAGCTGTTCTATCATATTGGCTCCAAAAAACCCCTCGAACGGCTCCAGGCCAAATTGGGATACTGAATGCATTTCGGTGAAGGCCTGAAGAGCGTCTTTTGCCTGGCTGGGTGAGGCAGCGCTATTAATTCGCGCTTCAATCAGTGCCCGTGCGAGGCGAGCGAACGTGGAGCAGACCTTGAAAAGGTTTTGGCAGGCATTTGATACCCTGGAAATCTTCTCTAAGACAGCTACCATATGGTCTAGAAGGCAGACATCTTCCATGTCACTATCAACAGCAATAGTACGAAGAAAAATGACAATGAATGGGTTCAATGATGACTGATGGAGGACCCTTTAGTTACATGGATTAGTAGTTGAGAATAGCAACGGCAAGAGATTTGGGGAACTAACCAGCTTGCGTAGTCGGATTCCGAGACCAGGCCAGGGCTGTCGATAGTCTGATAGCTGGAAAAGCAGATGAGATGACTTTGTAGTCCGGCTCGAGCGGCCTCGACGCATTTCAGACTGATACCTGATTCTTCATCCGTGGTTGTTGCCTTGATCAGGATCAAAGTCAATGTAGAGTAATACATGACATCCCAATTTTTCTTCGAGAGTTCGAATACCTTGTGATCTTTCATCTGGCTTGAGTCAAGCTAAGTCAAGTCAGTGACGCATCATGCAGCGGAAAAATAAACAAAAAGCTTACTTTGCCTAAGTCAATATACCAGGATTGGATCTTGTCCGAAAGCTGATTAACAGCTTGCCCCTGCCGGACGTGAGAGGAGTGACGTGCAGTCGCCGAATAAAGGTGGTCATAAACCTCACCTTGAATCTTGGCGAACTTGATGCCTAAGATGAAAAGCTCGTCCCAGGTCTTGCAAGAAGCATCAGGAGAAATTCTTGGATACCAGGCATCTACCTCAGAGTCTTGTAGATACGACGGACGACCTTGAAGGAGGGACATATTCTTGTCAGTGATATAAATATACCAGAAGGCACGGCGCATTTGGTCTGCTCTCCGAGCTTGATGTTTCCCATATGTTGTCTCTTGACAATAGCCGAGCATGCGGCAATGGCTAGCGGCGGCAGCTAAGAGCGTACAGCATAGGAATGGCTTCCCTTCTTCTTGTGCTTTGGTCATCTAAGTTTTGTCCAGTATATGAGCATACGACTTGAGATGGGATGAGACTGTGACATTGATTACTCACCCCTAGAGCCAGACTGAAAACGTTCTCAAAGCAAGGCATAGCCAAAGCCTGAAAAGTTTCAATTCCACGACTGAAATTCCTCTCGCAGGTGGAAATGTGCACCTTCAAATCATGCTCCTGTGCTAACGGATTCTGAAGGAGGACATATTCTTTCAGCACGTAATAAATGATCCCGTACATACTGGTAGCTTGGCCGAGCGACAGAGGAGCTGCAGTGTAGTATGCCTGCCGACACAAGGTCTCGAATAATGATGGATCGTTGATGAGAAACGAGCATAGGAAGATTGGTCGGTTTACTGGAGATGTTAGTAAAAACACCGGTTGTTGGCTCATGAACCTTGTTGCGCAAGAAAAGATTGCAAATAGAAAGAACAGAAAATGGACGGGCATCTTACCCTTCAGTTGTTGGAGCATAGCAACTACGAGCCCGGCTGGCAGCAGTTCCATTTCCGGATGGTGCTGTGACGTGATACTTGAAGACAATTGATAATCCTTGGAAAGAGCCGGTATGTCCAAGGGTTGAAGATGGTCCGTCAATTGTCGAGATATGGTATCCAAGTCGTATTGGCTGAAAACATTACTGGCCGCTATACTAGACTGAGAGATATCGCTCGCCTGGACAGACTGGTCGCTGAAAGACGAACCACCTTGGTAAACACCCGGATCATCTACCCTGAACGACTCATGCTGACTAGTTAGAACGGAAGCAACGGACGATCCAGGGCCGGTCGTCGATTGAGGAGTAGCATTTGTGCTGTTGGACCGGCTCTCAGTTGTTGAAAGACGATCACAGAGATATTTGACTTGCTCCTCGCTGAATGGACATTAGCCACGGGAAGAGTTTGAGATGTCTGATACGCCATACAGCTGCGTTATTCTATCACGCTTGGGCGGCACGTCCGTTCTCGGATAGACTGTTTGGCATGTAAGGTTGGCAGTGCGGCAGTTGGAGCAAGGGTTGGAACGATCGCATCGGATCTCAATAGGTTAGTCAGGGCTATGGAGAGGAGAGACAGGTCATGTGGATGCAACCCATTGCCATGCCATGTTATTCTGGTCCATACCTTGCGCATGCGGCATGCTTCACACTACAAAACAGTTAGCCAAGCCTGTTACCGCTGCACGTCGCATGATGCTGTGCTCGCTCCCTACCGCTCGAGAAACTTGGGCCAGTCTTCTTCGGCGCTGCTGAAGGGTTTCTTCGGTCTCCATTGTCCTTCTCGGCCTCAGTGAGCTCCGTGGGATGTCGTTGAAAAATCTTCTTGCCGGTACGTGCATTGGCGAAGGTATGAGCGAGCGGTCGATGTTTCGGAACTTTAAAGGGCCACGGAGCCGCGGAGCCGCGGAGCCGCGGAGCCACGGAACCGCGCGTTCCGTGGCGTGGCGTGGCTAGTCAATAAGGTACCTAGTCTAGCGTAGATATCCGCTCTAACTAGGATGACTCGGGGCAGACGGCATCAGTGCCATTGTTGGGTCCGACACTGTAGTACGGACATTTCGGGCCCATGGTAGCGAGAGAGTAAAGACAGAGTACATGCTGTAGCTACAGTAACTCCATCAGACTTACTTTTACCGCCCTAAAGATGAGGTGACCTCATGAGAAACCAGCCATTATAAATACGGCCTACCAATTGCCTCGCCCTAGTGTGTTGGGTATGTCATTCCAGTGCTTTATCCACTGTCTTCTGCCAATACTACGATAGCGTCCCACGGTGTATTTGTTTGTATGCACCCGACTCTACGCTCTCCCATGCGATACTTTTGGTTTGATGATCATTCAGCTAATTTAAACTGCCAGTGATTCACTATTGCATCATTTCAACCAACCAACTATCCTAGTCTTTTATCAACACACAAATCAGGAAGCTATGTCGGTACGTGCTTCGTCTGTCAATGTTCTCTATGAAAGCTTGCGCTAACACATATCGCTACCAGATTCCTTCCGGGTAAGATACATCGCTCTATCCATCAAGTTTCTCGATTTGCAGGCGGACACGAGGGTTATCTTTCTCAAAACAAATGCTGAAAAACCTAGTGTGCAAATCAAGGACGAATGCATTACCGCAGTCAACGAACTGCGGTCTCGAAGAGATGCAAACAAACCCCGTTACGTCATTTACAAAATCTCTGATAACGGCCAGAGTGTTGTCGTGGACGAGACCTCATCAGACAAAAACTATGAAGGATTCCTGAATAAGCTTGCATCTGCCACTGACGACAAGGGTAAACCTGCCCCTCGTTATGCTGCCTACGATGTCGAATATGACCTCGGAGAGGAGGGGAAGAGGTGAGTTCAGTATCCTGAATCAAGAAAATGCTACAGCTGCTAACTTTTGTCAGAATTTCAACTGCCTTTATCTCCTGGGTTCCTTCAGGTTCATCAATCAAGGTATGTTGAACAGTTGACCAGCCCTTCCTTCTTTTTTCTAATAAAACATTCAGTCTCGCATGGTCTATGCTAGTACTAAGGAGCAGCTAAACAAGGCACTCAATCTCCCCGTGTCGATACATGCCGACGATCTTGATGATATTGAGTGGCATAGTGTTGTTCGGCGTGTGAGTCGAGGAAGGGTATAAATATTCAAAATGTATAAATAGCGGTTTAGCTAATTCTATAAGGCAAGCTATATATTTTCTATTATATCCCTAGGCTAGTCAACCGCCTAATACGGAGTAATGATTATAGCTTAGTAACTTATGATTAAAAGGCAAATTAAGCTTAAATTAAATAATTATTAATATTTATATAAAAGTATATAATTTATATAAAGAAGTTATTAGTACTATATAGAGATATAATTAGAATGTAATAGTGTTGTAAAAGAGGAAGCTATAACTATTTAGCACTATATAAGCTTCTATAACCTACTTATTACTACCAAGCTATAAAATAACTTCATAGATAACTCTCGGGAAGTTTTATGCTATTAAATCCATTTGCGTCATAAAATAGTAGGTGGGGTTGGTAGCATGCGGCATATGTAAATATGGCGTTATATACAAAACCTAGTTTTGGGCTTCTCTTCCTCCTGATAATCATCTGTTTTTTTGCTGCTCCCCGGCTCGGATTATTATTGAAACTAAGCCAAGCCGTTGAATCTATACTCACTTCTGCCAAAAGGCCTCAACTTTGTCTCTACAACCTTCACCAATACGTAACAACACCTAAAAAGGGACAAGCGATGCCTTACAGCTTTCCAGTCTTGAATTATTCTATTTTCGTGGACAGGTGCTAGGCGGCTAGTCAGCCCGTGTTTTAGCCAAGCTTATCGCCATTGCTATACCAATTAAGGTCAGGGAATAAGGCAATAATATTCAACTTCAATTGAGATATTAAAACTCCATATATTTAAATAAGTATCTCAAACTATTCAACTGCACCATAACCTTATCCATGCCTTGGTGCATTATACAAGTTACCACTAATTAATTAAATCCACAAACCTCAGTACTAACTTACCATGGCATCTATCGGTTCTTGCGACGGATCTTGGGCTGATAGTCCGTAATAGGACTGTCATCGATCATGGATCCATTGGGCAATTTGTAGAACTCAATAGTTTGCGTGCGATCACTATCCTGAATTTTGGGTGGCATATTGTAGCTCATGACTGAATCGGGATTCTTCTCCATGAACAGCTTAGCACCAAAGCCCTCAGGCTTGTTGCCCAGGTCATCACCTTCAATGGCAAATTCGTGTCGAAGACCAAGAATGTGACCGATTTCATGCTGGAAGATTTCTTTCAAGATGGATGGATTTCTACCCTCGAAGGCATGCGAGTAAACAATCACATCCTGATCAACCTCATGCGGGAAGAAAGCTTGAGCTAGCACTCCCTCATCAAACTGCGTGTTGACTTGATATACGAGGTAAAAGTTTGCGTTATCTCGATTAGTCGTTTCGGAGAAGGCAAGGCCAATTTGGAGTTTGGCCCAGGAATCGGCAGCGGCTTGGAATTCTTTGGCTGCAAACTTTGCCTTGGTGGTATCTGGAAAAGTGTCCACTCTGACAAAGTATTGGAGTTTCCTGCCACCGGGTGGTGTGACGTCCCAGCGTGGTATGAGGGGACCGAAACCGATGACGAGGGAATCGGCCTTGTCTGGCGCGTTGTTGCCAGTAGTGCCCTCAAGATGGGAAATAGGAGCGGGACCAAAGCTTGGGTCTGTATCCTCTTGAGTGCGACAGGAGTACTTGGGAAGTTCAGGATCTGGGCCAGCGGTATTGGTGTCCATGGCAGCGACTGGGTTGGTTCTACCAGAAGACAGAGCTGCGGTGGCGCGTTCGTTGATATTGCCGCACCAAGGATTACTTGGTTCAGCCAGTTTGAAGAATAGAAAACGTGACTCTGTGGGTGGTTCTAACGATTTGATTGCAGTAATAAACGATTGCGTTGGATTTCTGTCTAGTCTGTACAAACCCGTGCGTATTTATAGTTAGGATTCCTTATGAATTCCGTCAACGCAAAACTACCGGCTGCCATCTCGTCTAACTGCGAACTATTCTGTGTTATGCTTTGGAATGTACCAACCCCGCGTTCTAGAGAGCGTTGTCACTCAGCCGCAATATTCAGCTGCAATAATGAGCAGCTAACCTGAATGAAGATTCAGCTCGCCACAATCAATGTTGGGCTGGCCTCAAAATTCATACCTGATCAAGAACCACGGCTTATGGCCGATGATTCCAGACCCTTGCATTGATGTGTCACTCCTTGCTTCTGCTGACAATGTTCAGTCAGACAGTGTCGCAGCACTGCGACGTCTTGGCTGAAACAGATCGTTCTCGATGCCTTACCCCGCTCTGAAAGATGTCATGCTTACAAAAAGTGATGGTCGAGGCGGCCAGCTCGATGGAGATGCAGAATAAGATTGGGCACACCAACCGCTGCTGTTCAAAGCTTGATTCTGATGTGAAACACTGATGCAAGGTTGGTTTAGTCGCAAGTTGAGATATGACAAGACACTCAGTTTAGTTATTGCGGGGGGATGAGCCAAGACACGCCATTGATCGATCCGCATATGCAGGCAAACTAAAACGTAGCAAGCTGAAAACCTACTTAATGACATGCATCAAAATGATCCAGATTAGAAATTCCCCGCCCTGATGGTGGTGTGATGGCATGACCTGCTTTTATTGGCCATCGTTTTCAGCTCGGCTGTTACTATCGTATCTTCCAACTCAAAGTCCACGACCATGCCGTTTGCTGTCACATGTCCACGATGTTGATGAACCACCCTATCTTGATTCGTAACGTCCTGATGTCAACTGTGGCGATCTCATGGTTATTGTTGTAGTCGTGTCGTCCAATATTCAAGTCAATCGGTGGTAGTCCCTCATGTGACCCATCGTCAAGGTTACATATACTACACCATCGTATACTAGGTTTAGAACTTCAATCCAACGCCACGACGCCCCCCAAGATCAAGTCGATATCGGAATACGCCCAGCAAGAGAGACACCGACTCACGAGGACGAACGATATAGTGCAAACGCTGATGTCTCAGGCGGTGTCAGAGCTGCGGCGTTGGTGACGCTGTCTGTGCATTTCAGGCAGAGAGGCTTGCCGCGATCGACTGGTTCTCCGACTCTAGTCGGGATGTTCAGGGCGGCTTTAGACTTCTCGCCGATCGTGAAAGGACATGAGCGAAAGTTCATGCAGATGGTCACTTGAGCGCCAGAGGGTCTATGTGGATGATAGAGCCAGTGGTCTTGAGCACTGCCATAAGAGGCAGCAGCATTAACGTCAAGCTGGCCCACCGACAGGTTTTCGGTGGGCAGCTTGTTGGTGTGAAAGGTCGCCATGGAGCTGTACAAGGCCGACTTATTACGGAGTCCGTGTGCTCTACGTCTCAGCTCAACCTTGGTTGCTTTCAGCATGCAGACAATCGGTCTGAAGCTGATCCACCTCGCAATGACAGATAGGACGATGACCAGGTGTCCATTTCTGGGGGCGCGTCCAGTGTATCGCCCAGACGGAGGTGAAGGTCCGCGATGAACGCCAACAGGAATAGCTCGTTCAGGCTCTTCGGGAACGGTTCGATACAGTTCTACGGGCCTCCCAATGACATGATAAGCACTCTCACTGCGGTGAAGTTGTTCGCCACCACTGTGTAGTCGGTGCAGGACGCGATTTTGTCAAACATAAGGTAGATGAAGGGCTAGTTGTTGAGACGTATACGTATGTTCATTAAACCCTAGTTGTCGTCTTCACCGTCTTTGTCACTATCGTCATCGTCATTGTTATTGTCATGGCTGGCATCTCCACTATCTACTTCATCGGTAAAGTAAAATTAACAAAAAAGCAGTGGTCTAAACTGGGGATATTTATTAACTATTACTTACTTTTATAAACGCTTCCCTAGACTAGAAGAATAACATGACATTTATGTTCCTGGAATTGAGATCCATCTATAGCTTTGTGAACATAACATTCTCCCACCATTTCGAAATATTCTCCCCTTTTCCGCAAGAGAAGTGGAACCTCCCCGCCTCGACAAAGGGCAACCACGTCACCGTCTTGAGATGCCTTTGGGACGAGAGCTAAGCATCCGGAGCTCAACCTGGCCAATCTCCTCGATTCGATTGCATAGAGACGTTCCGCCATAAGCTGGGCCAAGGGATTTCCCATGCTGAGGTTTGGCCATATTCCGTAGAAGACGCTGCTGATGAAGAACAACGTTATCAGCAGTGTAGCCCAGTTCAGGCATACAAACCAGAGTTGCCTCGCGCTGGGTCGATACACAAGATACAACATTCGCATGGCGAGGTAGACGTAGATCGCTTGCAAGAAGGCCGGCAACGCAAAAAAGCCACTGCGCTGGGACTGCCCAAAGATTGCCGTGGCGAGCAAGGGCGAGCCATCGTTTAACATATCACCCCGGCCGCACGTAATCGTATAAATGAATTCGTCGCGAAATTCCAGTGCTCTGTTATCGAAAACTTTACTCCAAGCCCTGATAGTTTCTAGCCGGTAGGAGGATGAGAGAGTCAAGGCGACTTTGAGTCTGAACCGGATGGTTGATTGTACTCTTTCAGTTTCGCAGGCGCTCCCAAGAGACGAAATCGTGACTGGAGCTCCATCATGAAAGAGCATATGGCCCGATAGTTTTATTTCTCGCGAATATGGAGTAGCGCTATCCGGCGACATTAGCATGTCCGTACACCCGGCTCAACTAAAGCGGAACACTAACCTGTCGTTCAATGCGGCGAAATTGTATGCAACGCCACGCGTGGTACGGAAACGACCACCAGATGGTAGCGATATTGGCATCGCAACACTGCCTTTGTTTCTCCAGTCAGGGACCCATGTGGGAAGCATGACTGTTTCCCTGCTGCCGCTCCGGCTGAGATATGCGTCGATGCGATCATTCAGCAAGTCGAAATCCCCCAAAGGCAACTGATGGGTAATGGCTCCGAAAAGTCGCAGTGAATTTTGGTGTGAGAGAATTCTTCTGGCGACGCGGACGTATGCTTCTTCCGTAGTCTGATACAACACTTGTATTCCATATGTACTGCCTCGCTCGATTTCCTCACCGAGACCTATCAGGCTGTACACCTTGTCCACATCTAACTTAGCAACGCTGTCTCGAAATAGAGTCAGAAGCGTGAGGATATTCTTTTCGATCCATAGTTTATCTTGTGCAAGGAGACCAAACACAGACGCAAGGCTAGGAAGATCGGAGAGACCCCTCTTTACCGCGGGTGATAGGAGATATCGAGCTGTCATTAGATGCGCTAGGTGCGCAACCTTCCTGCCACCAAGTTGGGACGCAAGCATATCGATGGCGGCTAGGCTGAAGTCCATGAAGGGAATCATTTTATCGCCGCATGCTAGGTCTAGGATTGGGCTGAGCGCAATCTCCTGAATGATCCAGACGCGAGTAAAGTAAGGTCGGCGGAGGAGAAGCATCATAGTCCCTAGCCGCCACAACCTCCCAGGCCGAACTATCTCAATCAGACGCTGCAACAACGAGCTGGTTGTGACGATTTCCCCATTCGTGTGTGCAACCGCCTCATCGGGTTGTTCTAGCGTCTGCTGTCTCTCTTTAGCTAGAGCTCGGCACGATTTGAAGGCCAGGTCGGACAGTATGGTTCCTTCCCCGAGCCAGACGATGGTTCGGGCTGACTGGCGATAGATGTCGCCCATCCTCTGAATTTGCACACTTTTCTCATCTTTATCTCGTTGGTTGATACAAAGAGCATCAACCCAAAGGGATATGGGCCGGGACTTGTCACGCAGATGTATCAAAGCTGAATAGAGATTTTGGGTGACGTAGACGGGTATTGAATTGCAGTGGATCATCTTAGGTTCGATTTCAGTGCCCCATTGATACGACAAAGCCTTATAAGGCGGGCACTGTGGGCTCGCGATAACGAGCTTGCGTTGGGAAGAGTCTCGTCGGGGCAGTAGTCTCGTTTCCAGTCTACAAACAATCGGATCCGCGGGACAGTCTTGCCTACCAGGTAGAAGGATAAGCACCCGGATATCGTCTTTGCCGAGTATAAGGGACTCTTGACCATAAAGGGGGTCTTTTGCTACGCCATTCATCGCCACACCCACGTCTCGGACTGGACCCAGTTCCTAATTGATTTATGAGCAAGCGACACATACATGAAAGTTCAAACGTACCATGGCCGCAGATTTCTTTGTCAAGCAGGCATTTGCACACCGCGAGCTATTGTGTCCTAGGAGGTAAGACCGACGCAGAACGAAAGAGCTAATGTAGTTTTAAGTGCGGCTGGCTACATGAGTCACCCGCCACTCGCGCCCCCACACCATCCGTTACATGTTTCGTTCGGCCAGGCTGCCTCCCGGAGCCACAAAGGTGCTATTGTATTCTCAGCGAATTCAGCAATACTTGCACGTTTATACCTTTTTCAAATTTGACGCCAGTGAGGCTTGCTAACTGTCAATCTGTTACTGCATTTTTCTGCTTTATTTATTTTGTCGCTAGTTTTAAACTCCTATGGCACTTAACTTAGCCGGTGATGCCTTTTGATATGTTTGTGCACGTTGTGCTCTTGGTTATTCGTAAACTCCTCGCCATAAGGAGACCTTAACAGTGTCTTCACTATCCCATGGGTCGTGCGAAGGCTCTAATGGGGCCAGTTGTAGGGACCCAACCCAACCACAAATGCCGTCCTCTAGGCAAGAAACAAGCTTTCTTAAGACGGTCACCGGGGTTTTATTAGAGGATAGAATTTCTTCTCTTTTTTTTTTTTTAGACTTTAGGGAGGAGAAACTTGGGAAGTATCAGGCTAGCTGAAAGTTAAAATTGTCGATATTGGGATCAATTTAGGCGCCGGCATTTCCTAACCGCTTTTGTCAACGGCCTCATCTCTGCTTCGGTGAATTGGATAACCAACGACGTTGAGTTTCTTGTCGCAGAGGATGACAGAGGCGTGATTTTGCTGCCGTGAATATGGTCGTTCCGTGTCGCTACGGAGCAAACAGATTTCTATCAAGTGAATGGTGTCGTAGATGGGACTGGGCTTGTTTTAAGGACGGAGGAGGCTGATCATCCGGCCTATTGGCATGTCATTATGGCAGACAATGGGGTCTAATAGCAGCCACGTTTTGGTGGAGGGATGAGATAATTTACGAAATATACTTGCGAGAGGCTGACCCGTCTCCTTTTTGCTTTTCTAAAGGTGTCAATGGGCGCCTAAGAATATCATTATATCACCACGGTCACTAAGTCACGCTCTGGCAAGCTAACAGGTTCATCGACCTTCGCAGTATACCAGCAACACCATGAATTCCAACGGCACTACAAATGCTCCTGCTGGGGGCAGCAATACTGAGCTCATCATCGCATGCGTCGCTCTGGTTGTGTCAGGCTTTGCTCTCGTTATAGCGTTGCTTCAGGCACTTCAGCAATACTTTGCTTCCGCAACCGGTTACGCCTCGTGTAAGGAATTAGTGATGGGTCAATGGTCCAAATTTACCCACCGCCGATTGCGGCTTTTTGAATTTCGTTTTGAAGTCGAGTTCCAGACTCCAGTAATTTTCGTTTCAGCTCCAAGCAACAAAAGGGGCCCCCTAGGTCCTCATATGGAGAGAGAGAGAAAAAGTATTCTGAGATGCTTGAAACGCTTTGTACGGTCCAGGTTTACTAGGCTGGCCAGGTTTCAGCTCCAGGATGAACCTCAGGAAGCCAGTCGCCACGAGATCACATACCTGGTCGGGACGCGGGAGAGCTATCAGAAGACTTATACGTGGAGTCAAGATCTGTATGACCAACGAATTAGGAGCCTCGAGGCTAGGGAGACTCGTCAGGCCATCCGTACAGCCGATAACGAGCTTGCAACATGGCTCGCGCTGCTCATGGCGGTGCAGCGAATGGAGAAGGAATCTCGACAATGGCAGGCAGAAGAGTTTTTCGGCTATAATGTCTCCAATAACGAGTGGTACAACAGGGCTTCCCATACCCCGCTCCTGGATAACTTTGACAGAAATGACGCGAATAACCTACATACTCTCACCGTGGGTATACAAAAGAAGAAGAAATCGTGGGACACCATGCCAGAGCACATGAAGAAGCCTTATGCCACTTCAACCATTTGCCATATAGTTGAGATTATTGCTATGCTCGGCATTTACTGGAAGGTCTTTAACCGAAATGAAGACCGGTATCGTGCACAGGGTAATGGCTTTCTCGTTACTGGCGCTAATATTGATGACCTTGGAATTATCTTTTCTTTCCATAAAATGGGCGAAACTTGGTTTAAGGAGAACCGTATTATCCCAAACGAGAACATTAAGGAACTATGCTTTGGATACTGCCCTACTATTTTCCGCCCGAAAAAATTCAAAATGTACGCCGATGAGCCGAAAGATCTCGGAACTCTTCAACTCGCAAGTCTCGCTGCAATGGCAGAAACTTTAAAGGTTATTGGCTGCAATACTAGGACAGTCAAATACTTTTCGAAACCATCCGTGAACACGCGGTACAGCCATCTTTTCCCAGGTACGTCAATAAGCTTCTTGGTCTTATACAAATGCTTTAGGCTCACTTGCCCTCAGTCGCCTTCGAGATACTCGGGATGGTTGGCATTGTGCTGCAAATAAAGAACACTGCTTTCCGCATGCTCCCAAACCCTACAATCCACCACTGGGATCGAAAGTCTTTCTCTGTCCGGACCCTGTTGGTCGCCTACAAGTCTGTTCTAGACGAAGCGGTCCAGTATCAAACGCATGAAGCTCCAGTCGAGGCCCAGAGCCAGGCAATGTTCAACGACAACGATCAGATCAGCATGATCATAAGCGAAGCCGATAAGGTTGAGCAGAGTTTTCGTGCGTCCGAGATGGCGATCAGAGCTTCCGAAAAACAGCATAATCAGGAACAGGAGCAAGATCAATTTACGACATACTTCATACCTGAACAAAGAACGGAAGAGCCAAAATTATACTGCAGGGCTGTCATGACGTCACTGCACGCCGCAATCGAGAAATGCGACATGTTTCTCAAAGTACCTAGAGAAAGTCCTCTAGTTCAGTTCGTCTTGCGGGTACACCTCCAGGAGGTCTTAAGTATGCTCAATTCACAAAACACCAATCAAAAGTCCGCTGGAGACTGTTTTGAAAATGCAGTTGAGAAGGAGGAATTACTCAGATCCACCGACGAGTCAGCGAAAGCCCATCGAATTAACAAACAGCAAATGACCCATGAGTATCGCAAAGCAATGTTGCATAAACTTCAACGACTTGACTCAGCATCCTACGGAGAAAGGCATGCTCTTTTGATAGATATGTACATTTCTTGGGTACGCGAGAACGTCATTTGGAAGATATGCAGCGAGCTGGATCGACAAAGGAGGCGTCAAAATCCCCCGAGCGAGCCAAAAGGAATCCAGCGCACTGGGACCTTATTAGGAGCCCGTCTAGCTGGCGACGAAGATGAACTGGACGATGATGGAGTGAGCACTGAGGGTTGCTGGGAGTCCAAGGAGAAGCAGGAGATCAGCGATATCTGGTGTGTACTTATCTTTCGCATGATATGCTGGTTACTTCTCCACGACTTCCATAAGCTTGATGTTCAGATCAACAAGGATGGGCTTTTTGGAAGTCGTTTACCAGTATATATTGCTTAAACTGGGAATCAACCGATTCTTCATCCTGTTTACCTGCAATGTTCACGTTACATGAGATTCGTCTGTAAAACGTTCGACGAAACCTACACAATGTCCAGTTAGCCATGCTGTAGGAGATGGCAGACTGGAGGACATTATCATCGCGCTAGGGGCATGAAAACCAATCCTGGAGCTGTAAATCATTTTGAGTTTCACTCACCTGACTTCGGGAAATTCTATTCACACTGTCAACTTCTCGTATTCTATTGCCGCATCACATGCATGGATAAAACATCTAAGGTTAAATGTTGACGAGGTTCGTCCAGACGGTCATGCGAATCAATTTCCCCAAGAGTTGAAGCAAGAGGATTTGGAACATGTGAAAGACAGTTGTGTATCCTTCGAGCTCCCTACTAGTCAATAGCTGTCATCGATGGCGGATTGTGTATTGCGACGATCCTGACAAATGACTCCATGGAATAGTAATGGGTTGCATTGGAGCTGTTCTAGATTGGCCCTACAGGGGCGTTGGACCGGACCTACCTAACTAGTCGACTTGCGGAGACTAATCCATTCGCCATGGTATGCTGTACGGTGACTTTGCGGATTCCTCGACGGAGAGCCATTGGAGCCAAGATAGGATAAATACCTCATGCTGAGGTGGAAGCTTGCTATTGGAAGAAAGCCGCCACGATAGTGTGCGCCATTGGAGCCATTGTAAATTGATGAGGGACATAAACACATGGGACATCAGCTGAGAACTTGCGTGACGGCACGGCAGCCGTCTACGTTGCCTGTGTTGCAGCTGAATCCTCTTACGGAAGGTTCCGTCTGCCCATCCCTACCTGTTGTCTGGCCACAGTGCATCGATTAATCGATTATGATGGAACGCTATACCGCCATCGCCATCGACATGCGCCTGAGTCTATGATCATTATTGAGGAGCGCCTATGTTTCCAGTAGCTTTTCGGTTACGTCATTAAACACCACACTTCCTTCTGTTGGAGCTCTTGTAATACAGTATACGATATACAGCTGTAACGTACCTCACCGCCACACCGCCTACCCCTATTATGGATGCATACAACTTCGATTACCAAAACATGCGGCATAAGTAGAACTTTCTACCATCAGGCCATTATAGATTACTAATACTCTACATATAAATTAAATACCCATACTATGGCCTAAAACTTAAGAGCCTAAATAGTAGTTTAAGTTTATCGTTTAAAGATAATTTAAATAAACATAAAGCTTTAAGGCTATTATAATAAATAATAATATAATAGATAAATAGGAAAATAAAGCAGTCTTATATAATAGTTATATATAACTACTATGCCATAGAGTAAAATGTTAGTTAATAATTACTATTATAGTATTTATAATAATATATAAAGCTATTTATAAAAGCTTATAATAAACTAAGTTATATTACTCTAGTTTGGAAATTTAAAAGTTAATTAAAGTATACTAATATACTTAGGATAAGGGTTAAGTTAGATTAAATATTTAAACTTATTTTATTTAGTAGTGTCTTTTTTATTAATAATATTATAAGGAAAAAAAAAGAATATAAAAAAATAAATAAATAAATAAATAAATAAATAAATAAATAAATAAATAAATAAATAAATAAATAAATAAATAAATAAATAAATAAATAAATAAATAAATAAATAAATAAATAAATAAATAAATAAATAAATTAAGTATAATATATTATAGGGATTAATTAAGAAATAGTCCTTTAAGTAGGTTAAAGGAAGAAGGTTAATTTAGTTATTAAAAGCTAGTATTTATATTATTTAGTTAAGGTAGTAATTATATTATTAAGGTAAATAAACCATATTTAATAATAACTTTTATTATAATAGCCTGCTATAAAGGTTTCTGAATTTAAGTTATTAATAAAAGAGCTAATAAGCTAGATAGCCTCTTATAAGGTTAAAAATATAAAAAAAATAAAAAATAAAAAATAAATAAAATATAAAATAAAAACAAAGCACTATTAGTTTTATTTATTTTAATTAGCTTTACATCCCTATTATAACCCTGTCTAAGGGCTATAATACTTAAAAAAATAAAATATATAATTTATAATCTTAATTTAGGTATTAATTTACAAACTTATCCCCTAACTATTAAGTACTTAAAGTACTTAATAACAGTTACTTCTCTTAATTAAAATCTACTTCTAGGCTAATAAAAAGGCCTAATTCTAATAAAGCATCTATTTATTAAGTTAATTTATATACCGAAAAGTTCCCACTTTAAACTTAATAAACACTCTGTTATTAGGGAGAGGAGACTGTAAGGGCTTAAAACTATAGTTATCTCCTTTAATAAGCTATTGCCTAACATTTATCTTATTTACGCTTAGTTTTAAGTTTTAATAGAATTTTTAAAACATCAATCTAAGGTGTAAATCCAACTGGCCAACTCACTTAACTTGCACGTCAGCCATTGCAGGCCTCGGCCATCCTCTGTCCATGCCATTGGTCGTCCCGGGTCACAGAGGTCGAGATGGCGCAAGGCTGTAACGTTTCCTCACTGTTGGCGTTCAAGTTGTGATAAAGTTCCAGTCACTGAGCTTCCGGCTACCTGGTTTTGCCTAAAACAAAAGCAAGAATAGAGAATTGCTCTCTATTAATGATAGCCCCTCGTGGATACATCTCTCTTGTTCTAGTTCACACCATTGCTCGTATTAGCAGTCTGGGCTATTGCGTCGACTTGTGAATATCGCCACCACATGGTTTCTGGCCACTCTGATGATTCGCTTCTGCCCTTGATCATGGCCTAGAGCACTCAGCCACACTACCAGCCGTACAGACTAGAGTAAGTCCAGCTGGGCATTGCACGCCGCATGACACGCTCATGTTCCAGCTTTCTAACTATCGATTGCGCGGGGTCGCTAATATGCTTCACCCTCCAGCCTAATATCTAACCAGGTTCTCGCATATTCCATTACAGTGTCGAGTAGTCTGTCCTCCCAAAATCTCCCAGTCTTCGGCACGTCACAATGGCTTCCTTTCCTGCGTTTTCAGCCACGGGGCCGCGTTTCAATCTGGGACCAGGTCATCTGTGTGTTGTTTGCAGCCAAGTCCCCTTTAATCAATTACCATTCGAGGATGAAGAGGCATACGCCCATCAACCTTCTCTCGATGCGCTCGAGAAGTCCAGCGAAAGGTGCGCCATGTGTGCTCTGCTTTATTGGGCAGCAGGTTGTAGCCTTATTAATTATGGTGGTATGGTTGCCTTCTTCAATATCGATCTTCCTTCAGGAGCCCAACTACCCGCAAGGTCCATGGGGAGCATGTACAGCCGATTTGGGATGCGGGCGCTCGAAAATGGCGCCTGCATGATAGACCTTTGTGACCCGGTTGCTGACTATCGGCCTCCAATCGAAGTTGATCTACGCTCAACCTTCCCGGATGGCATTGTGATAAAGGACGGGGAATCGAAGCCTCTGCGGCCTTGGCTCTTCGGAAATTGGTACAAATCTGGCTTTGTTGGCAACAACCAGTTGTTGATGGTTGGGCTGGGTGTCAGACTTGGTATAAGTGGAAAAATCCAGGATTCGGTGGATTACGACCGAGATACAGTCAATCTTCGAGGATCATATCTGCGTTTCCGCACTGATCAGGGTACATTTCTCCCTGCTTCTGTTTTTGCTCTTCCGAAGCTAACGACTTTGTGAGCAGATATCAACTTTATTCCCGGGAGAATTTTAGCAGCGGATTCGGGCTCCTCTTACGCGTTCTCCAAACTCAAAGGCTGGCTCAACATCTGTGACAACCACCATCCATGCCTGTCTTCAGATATCCTGCGCAGTCTCCCAACAAGAGTCCTCGATGTTGCTACAAGTCAAGATAAAATATTCTTGCGCAAGACTGCGGGAAAACAGGGCAAATACCTGGCACTGTCGCATTCCTGGGGCTCAACACATCGGCTGACTCTTAAAAACGCAAACTTAGCAAGATTCCTCACGGACGGCGTTTCGGTCTCGGCTATTCCCAAAACATTTCGGGACGCCGTTCAGATTGCCAGAGAATTGGGTATAGCCTACGTTTGGATTGACTCCTTGTGTATTATCCAAGATGATGCCGCAGATTGGGAAGTGGAGGCGTCGCGCATGGGACTTGTTTATGCCAATTCATATCTCACCGTCGCGGCTCTCAGCTCAAAGGACGACTCAAGCGGCTGTTTCCCCGACATGTCCACGAGGTATGAGGAGCCGTTCGTCTCCCTAGACGTCAGATCTACTGGGAGAAGGAGCTTTGTCCATGCAGCTCCTGTTGCCTGGTGGGACGACAACGACGTTCTACCCCATATGGGGGGGCGATGTACATGGGCCACAGATGAGGTCACCGACTGTCAAGGAGGCCACAGCTCATGGCTTTACGTGACACCAGAGTGGATGCCCCCCTCACCAAAGAGACATCCGGACACCTATCTTCTCGGTGAATTCGGAGGAGTATTCGATCCCATCGGAGACGAACCATTGAGCAAGCGGGGCTGGACGCTCCAGGAGCGCCTTTTGTCTCCACGCACCATTCACTACGGCCGCACACAGATGTACTGGGAGTGCCAAGGGTGCGTCTTTGCTGAAGATGGCGCCATCCTTCGGAGGATGTTCACAACCCCGAAAGATCTGTGGGGTACCAGACCTGAGGACCCTGAGGACCCTGCGGAAAACCGCAACCGGCAGTGGATGCGGCTGGTAGAGCAATACTCGATCCGGAACTTAACCGTGGCGTCCGACAAACTACCCGCACTATCCGGTCTTGCAAACTTATTCGGCACGAGGACCGGTGACACGTACTTAGCGGGGTTATGGAAGAGCGGTCTCATGAATGGGCTAAATTGGGGCATAAAACTGTACGAGCCTACTCATCAATGTTCAGACCCTGCGCATGATGCTGCAATGCCTCCAGCGACCAAGTCGCCTGTTAAATCTCCCGCCGAGTACCGAGCCCCGTCCTGGTCATGGGCATCTCTCGACGCCGAAATTGATTATATGTTCGCTTTGAAAGACGAGCTATTGGCTACTTGTGTTGATGTGCGGGTGAAGCCTATGGGCAAGGATGCCTTTGGCCGCGTGGTGTCTGGAAGGCTGACACTGAAGGCAAGTGAAAATACACTAGGGTAATATTGCCTTACATCTGACAATGTTTGTCAAGGGCCCAGTCTATGCACTATCACCCCGTCCATTGGAAGGACGTGAAGGTGTGATTCATCCGCTCCAAACTGGGGTGGTCGCAACATGGTCAAGTGGTAAAAAGATTTTTCGTTTCTGGAGGGATGCCTCCAAGGTCTTGAAAAAAGGTATCGCTCACTTCGACAACGAGCCGACGTTTCCTTCTGTAGCTTTATTCTTGGATAGTAATTATGCTCTGATACTGAAAGAAAGCCAGGGAAACATATATAATAGGATTGGTCGGGCGTCGTTTCAGGGTAAGGCTGAGGAGAGAGACAAGATTGATATGCCGGAGGGAGCTGTGAGACAGGTAATAATTGTTTAAGCTATATGAGTTCAAAATGGGCACATTTTTCATCTGTAATTAATAATTCAGTTTTAAATTTAAGCCTTATAAAATAAAATTTCTTTTGCCTTATTGTATTAATTACTACTAGTAGTAGCCCTACTTAAGAATTATTAGTAAAAATGTATTATATTCCTTGTTTTTAATTAATTATTATTAAGTATTTATACTTTATATTTCCCTTAATATAAATATTATATATTTAATAAATGTATAGAATACTTTTAATTTTATTTTAAATATAATGTTTAAAAAACTTTATAAAACTATAAATTAAGCTTAAAATAATAATATACCTAAAAATCTATTTTCTTTTTTTCCTTATTTTTAATTTTATAAAAGGCTATTTAACCTTTTAGCGTTTTTATTAATAACATAAATAAAAATACCTTTAATATAGGCTATTATATTAAAAGTTAATATTAATTAGGTTTATCTATCTTAATAATATAATTATTACCTTAACTAAGTAATATAAATACTAGCTTTAAATAATTAAATTAAATTTTATATTAACCTTTTTAAAGGGCTACTTTTTAATTTACTTTTATAATTATATTTAATATATTTATTATACTTTTAAAGTATATTAGCTAATATAATATTTCCTTTATTAATTATATTTCCTTTATTAATTATATTTATTTATATTAATTATAATTATTACTATTTCTAATTTAAACTATTACTTTTTTATAAATTTTTCTTTATTTATGTTTATATATAAAGTTAATTAGTTATAATATATTTAATAAGTAAGTAACCTAAATAAGTAAGTAACTTATATTCCTTAACCTTTTTAAGCTATAGTTTAAAATCTTAAGCTATAGTTTAAAAAAGGTAACTTTTACTTATTAAATTCCTCCTTAAATAACTTAAGAATATCCTTATACGTCTTTATATTATAACTGCCTTTAGTATATATACTATAGCACTAACTATGTAGTTATTTTAACCTTCCTTAATTACTACTTCTTAATAATTTAGCTATTACTTATATATTAATATCTATTTAATTAATTACTTATAATACTTTTTATATAATTATAATACCTCCTTATAATTCAATCCTTTTTACCTTATAATACTAACTTAATATTTTATTTATATCTTAAAGATTATAAAGCTTAGCCTTTAATAAGATAACCTTATATATAATTACCTTTATTACCTTAATAATTAACTTTAAAGCTTTAATAATAAACTTTAAGGAGTTATTATAATGCCTTTTAATTTACTTTTTTAGGTATTTAAATTAAGATTAAGCCTTAATTACTATCTTTAAGGTCTATAGCTATATATTAAGCTTTAAAATTATAGTTTTTAAGTTAAGAAAAATAAATCTAGCTTTTTTAAAACCCCTTTAAATAGTACTTTTTTATAAAAATAGCTTTAAATATAATATAGAAGGTAAAAAAGAACTTAATTTTAAAAATATAAGTTATAAAGTATCTAATTAAATACTTTAATTCTTAATTATAAGCCTATTTTAATAGCCTAAAATACTTAATATTAAGAGGCTAAAGTAAATAAAATATATAAGCAGGTATATAAAGTATAATAATCTTATTCTCCTTATAATAATTTTTAAAATTAGCTAAGTAATAGCTTTTATAACTATTAAGGATTAAAATATAATAAGTATTAATTAATTAATTAATTATAAACTAATTAAAGTACTTTAATTACTTAAGACCTAGCTTATTATTTATTTATTTATTTTAGGTTATTATAATAACTTAATTACTTAAGAGGTTATATTCTTAATATTAATTAGTAAAGTAATATTAGCTTATATTAATAATAAATAATATAATTAATTAACCTTTTATATTAATTATATAAATTATAGTAATTTATTTTTAGTTTTTAAATTTTATTAATTTTAGCCTTTTTTATATTTTTAAACCTATAATAACTATTTTAATTATAATAAGGCCTATTATAAAGTTAATTTTATTAAAGTTTTAAGTATTATTTAATTAAATACTATACTTTATAATTATATTTTATATAAGCTTAAACTAATTATAAATAATAATTAAATCTTTATATTTAGCTTTTTAATAATTATATTTATAAAATAAATATATTTTTAACTTTAATTATTACTTTATAAAGTTATAAGCCTAATACTTACTAATAAGTAATATATTATAATTTATAAGTAAAGAATTAGCTATTTCTTATATAAATTGCAATTATAAGGGAAATCCTTATAAATTTAAATTAAAATAAATTAGATTATTATCTACTTATCTAAATTAAATTATCTTTATAAACTTAAGATAGAATTATATTATAATTAAATGTTATTTTAGTAGTATTATAAGGTATAATAATAAACTTTATACCTAGTTACTGTCTATTATATACTTAGTTTTAGGTTATTTTAAAGGGCCTAAAGGGCAAGAAGGATTCTAGCTTTATAATAGTTAGGTCTAACTATATTAAATTAAGCCGTGCTAGGTTTATTATTAGCAGATTATATAGGGCATATATTAAGTATTATTAAAGTATTATATTTCTTAATAGTAGATTTAATATATATTAGGCTTAATTAATATAAAGAAGTTATATTAATATTAATAAGCTAGAATCTATAAAAGTGCTAATAAATATATTCTATATACTTATAATAATTTATTATAATAAGTTAATACTTATATATAAGTTATAAGTTTAATTATAAGTCTTATTAAGTAGCTTATAATAAGAATAAGGAGAAAGTATAAGTTATTAATTAATTAAGGGAAATTTATAAGTTTTATATAATATAACTATAAGGATTATAATATAATATCTCCTTTTTATTAAGTCTTATCCTTAAGACTTATATAACTTTTATTTTAATTATCCTTTTTTTAATAAGTTTAACTTAAACTTATAATTATCTTTTTAATATTATATTAATAAGATATTAGAGTTAAAAGCTACTTATAACTAAAAAGTATAAGCAATTTTAATTAAAAATACTAATTTTCTTATTATACCTTATAGTTATTATAAACCTTAAAACTTAAAGTATTAGGCTAAAGAGGGTTATAAGTATTATATATAATATATATATTATAGTTATAAGTATAATAGTAAGGGTATTATTATTCTTAAAGGTTTATAAATTTTTCTTAATATATAATTTTTATTATTAACTTATTATAGCTAATTATTTTACTATTAAGAAGTATTAATTAAAGTATAAAGAGGAGTTAATTAAGACTAAATTAATAAACTTATAATAGTAAGTAAATAAATAATTAAGTTATTTAATATATCTTTATTATTAAAAGAGGTAGCTATAAAAGTATAATAAAAAGATACTTTATTATAATATTAAAACTATAGATAATTTAAAAGTAGTAGATAATACTAAGTTATTTACTGCTATTAAGGCTTAATTAATAAGTACTTTTAATATTATTAACTAAGGTAAGGTTTTTTCTATTAGTATTACTAGTAAAAATTCTTTAAGAGTTATTAGGTATTAGTAAGATATTTTAGAGGTTTTTATATATTTTTATTTTTTAAGTAATTTTTCTATTTAATTAGGTATATTCTTTATTTATTAATTATATTTATTTTCCTAATTACTTTTACTTTATAGGCTTTTAGTCTTATAATTTATTATAATTTATTGCCTATTTTAACTTATATTATATTTACTGCTAATTTAAGTAATAAGATATAAAAGGTTAGATAAAGCCTAACCTTTAATAGTAGGTTTAGTTTATAGTTATTTTTTAAAAATATTTCTAATATTTTATAAGGTTTAATAAATTTATAGTTTAATTTATAAGTTAGTTAATTTATTTTAATATTTTTTATAGCTAGGTAAACTATATCTCCCTTTAAAAAGGTTAATTCCTTTAACTATTTTAGGTTATAGTAGTTTTTTATATATTTTCTAATAAATTCGAGTTTTATTTTTATTC